AAGAAACATTGGTGTAGAATCCTAGTAATATTTTAAAAATATTTCAGATTTTGATGTCTAAAAAGTAGCACGTTTCACTTACTTTTATTCTTATTTTCACATAAGAAATAGCATTTTTTACCTTAATAATTTCTTTATGATGAGTACATTTGAAAGGATGTATACATGAATAAAAATATCACATTACAACCCATAAAGATATATAGTTCCTATATGTCAATTAAAGCATCTTTAAGCTGGGTGTGGTTGTGATGTTTGTTGACAATAAAGATAGTATATAAAATTTGGCATGGGGTCTAAGTACTGAAATTTAATGAAGCGTTATTGTACAAAAGTGGAAAAAAATACCCTATATTTATGACCTAGTGCTTGGAAATACTTTTTGCATATGAAAAATAAACTATTTCTAAAATTTGTATGGGTAGTAACTGCTGCTTATAATAACCTCTCTGCCGATAATATATTATGTACTTGTTTTTTATAAAATTTATAATACATTGGACCTTTGACTCATAAACTCAATTCATTCCCCAGTGCTGGTTGTAACTCAGGTTGGTCAGTTGAAGGCTCAGGCTCCTCTGCATAGCCTTCAAAATCTCTTTCATATACAGGAAGATCTCAGTGTCTTTAGAGAGGCTCTGGCCCAGGATTTCTCAACCCCGCAAAGGAAAGGATGTGGTAATGTTCTTCCAGAACTCTTTAAGGGTTAAATCTGTATCGGCAATCATCTGGAAGCATAAGTGGCTGCATTTGGGTCATAACTCAAGATTTTGATTGTAAGTTAAAACTGAAATTCTTTTTGTAACCCAAGTTGTTCATATGTCAGGCAGATTATAACTCTGGGGTCCACTGTAGTTTTTTTTTCTTTAACTTCTTTCTTAATAATTTTCTGTATATTGTAATTATTTGCTTCAGTGTCTTTATGTGTCTACAGTTACAGTTTCCACTTTGCACTCTGTAATCTCTTGAGAGCTTGAGATTACATGCTGTTACATGTATATAACACATTATAATTCTTTTTTCATCCCCTCCTGTCCCCTTCTCTCTCCTTCCCTCCATCTCTTGGTCCTTCTTCCATTTGCAAAAGAACCATCTACCTATTTCCTACTATCTGTCTTTTATTTTGCACTTTATTTATATTTTGAGTTTCTCATATAGGAGAAATCCTGAGGTATTTAAACTTGTGTGTCTGGTTTGTTTCACTTTATATTATGGTCTCAAAGTGCACCAACTCTCCATGAATAATATAACCATTATGTGCTTCACACATGTATTAATAAAAAATAAAGTGAAAAAAGTGCTTATTGCTGGCCCCTGATTGGTGTGGAGGTGCAGTCTGGATACCAGACTTTTCAAAGATTTTCAAGTGATTTTACTTTGCAGCCAGAGTTGGGAAGCCATTGGCCTAAAGTACTGTATTTCAGAAGTAACTAAAACACACCTTGGGCTTTCAGAAAGTAGATAACTATAGTTTTCTTGAGTGATGTGATGGCTCTTTCATTTTAAATTTCTTGCCTAGAATAAAGTGAAATCATTCAAGCAGAGATGATATAATGTTAAGCACTTTCATCAAATTGTAAATGGTATTGTTTATATATGGAGAATATAATTTTTAAATTCTCAAATTTCTATGTGGATGAAAGGAAGGGATAAGCATTCTTATTTTGAATTTTATATAAATCACAGATGTTTTTATCATTGTTTGTTAGAAATCAACAAATTCCGTTTTAGAGCCAAGTATAGTTAGGTGTACACCGTTAACTCTTGTTAACTTTGTCACCTACTTTTAATGGACTGAGTACTCTGATACTGTAAAGGGGACTTTTGTTTACTTCAGTAACAAGATGTTGGGCAAGAACTCATGAACTCAAATAGTTATCTCCCTGAAGCAACAGAGAGCCTCCAGAAAGAAATTGAACTTCATAGTACTCCTTTGTTTTGTTCTGAGACATGATCTAGTCCCTTTCCACTTGGAATTGGGAGCTGAGAGATCAGTATAGAGGTGTTCAGTGTGGTTTCACTGTTTGATTTTAGTTACTGTGAATTCCTAGCTCTAGCCATATCTGGCAGTATGTACTGCAATAGGGTTGCAAACTCCTGTGTAGTATGTAGTATATAGCATATTACATGGGGTCTGAAAATAGTAGGGCTCATCTGATAGACTGTTTTATCAGAACCGAGTTCAAAGTCTAGCTTTTCAATTTTTAAACCATATTGCCTTGATTTTTTAAACTTATCTATTTTTGTTTTTTTAAACTTACCTAGCCTTAGTTTTCCTATTTGGAAAATGGGAATAATGAACTGAAGTTCAGGGTTTGTTAATGACATAAACTGTTTTCAGATGGTTTCATCTCATTGCCCCTTGGAGTTGCCTTTGATGATCTGGAAGTCTGGTTTTCAGCCTTGTTTAGCTGTCTTCTCATTTCTATTTTGTTGTTGTTGTTGCTTTTAATTTAATTCCTGGGTTGCTGCTTGTAAATTGCTTATTGCAAATATCTTTATAGCTAGTATTTAAAACCCTTAGGGAATGGCTACTTCTTGGATTGTCTTCCCAGTTAGTTGGCCTCTGAATTTTGAGTCTGTAATGACCCTTAGGCAATCTCAATGTTGGTATACCAGCAAGGATAACTGACTAGCGTCCAGAGTAATACAATCAGCATCAACAATAGCATCAAACACAGGCTAGAAAATGACAGAAACTATTAATCTACTAACTTTGATCTCATGAACCAGACTTGTGGTTATAAGTCAAAATCTTGAATCAACCAGAAATATATTTGCAGTAAATATGCCCTTCAGTGTACCAAATTTGCCCTCTGGGGAGATTTAGAAGGAGTTGGGGAAGGTAGAGAAAGGAGAGGGAAAGGTTAGAAGTAAGGCTAGAGACAGAAAAAAAAAAAAAGTAAGGCTAGAGGACGCAGGAAGATCATGTGAACTTTGGGAAAGTGGTGAAGACAGAGGAACAGAGAGAATGAAGGAACGAAAACAAGAACAGAACAAACTGACAGCAACAGAAAATCCAGAAACTGTATTGTCCCTCCTATAAAAATAAGAATGATCAAGAAAAAAACAAACAAAAAACAGGTAAAAAACAGGAACAAAATAGGTGAGAAATGAAGAAGAAGGAGAAAAGAAAAGAAAGAAATAGCCCCCTCAAAGCATGTCTCTGCTGTCCCCTGTGTTGGACAACGTGGGTAGCAAGTAGCAAACCGATTTGTGTCACCTGATCTCTGTGAGCCAGCCATGGTCCACTGAAGTTCAGTCTGGTTTCTGGCTGTGAGGATGGAATTAAACTTCCTGACCTCCTTTGGGTTTGAACTCTGCACAGTACTACTGAAGGTTCTAGCTGCCTTTCCCGGCAGCAGTCTGGTTCTGGTAGGGGGTTTTGACTCCAATAACTCACTGACTGCTGCAGTCTGTGGTGCCTTTATTGAGGTGACTCTTTGCTCTCTCAGTGGGCTTTAGTTCTCAGCAAGCCTTGGAGAGGACTTCTCTCTGCTGCTCACCACTGCGCCCATTCCTGGGCTCAGAATGCTGGCCTTCTGGATCCCTGCATTGTGCTGCTGTCCTGGCGGGCCTCCGGCAGGCCTCTGCCTGGCTCCTGTGTCCCCGTGCTGCTGGTGTCTCAGAGGGCCTCTGGCTGGGGCCTGTGTGTCCACGCCTCTAGTGTCCTGGCCTTCACGCTCTTACCAATGGTGTCTGGATGGGGGCTCTCCATAATATGTTATTTATTTGTTTATTTGGAACTAGGGATCGAACTCTGGACCTTGTGCTTGTGAGGCAGGCAGCAGCCCCATAATCTGTTTTAAAAGCTTAACACACTACCTGTCCACTGTTAGCCTGTAATAAAAATTTCCTAGCTTGGATTATACTGAGGAATTGTAGTAAAATGAGAACAAAGTTCTAAATTTTCTTTAATGAGTTATTAATAACGAGTGTTGGGATACGTGAATTACATTTTATGTAACAATATTTCTGGATTTCTTATAAACCTGATCTCTGAGTAAAGGTATCATCATACCTTGTTTTTCATAATAGGTTAAATTTTTTATTGTGTTTAGGGACATTTTACAACTACTCTAAAGATTCTAATGTGAGGAGAGAAATCAGAAAGTTGATAGTGTAGAGTTGCAATCTAGTTTGGTCAGGGCATGGGTTCATATGTTCACAATGTGAATATAGGCCTGTACTGAAGGCCGTGTCAAGTGTAAGCTAAATCAAAGTAGTTCATTAATAAAAAAAGTTAGTTGTGCTCTTCTCTGTGCTCAAATGAAATTGTCATAGTAATGACTTCTATTTTCTGCCTTTCAAAATTGTTCTCATTTTGTAAGTCACAATTCACATGTGATCTGCTTTGTGACTTTTTTTCTCTATCCCTTTAAAGATAGATCATTTCTCTGCATTCAGTTAGAAAGCAATCTCTACCCTGGTGGTTATTGCGCTCTCATATTAAAAGCGTTGCTGCATTTACATTTTAGGTATTGAGTTGAAGTTTGTTTGGGTTCCTGGTTACAGGACTCTGGCTTTGATACAAGAAGAATCTTCATTTTTAATTTCTGCTTTGTCACTTACTTTCTTTATAAAGACTGAGATAAAATCTTGTCCTTTCTTGAGCTCCATTTATTTTTCTATAACATGGGGCTAAAAGCTTCTACCTCATAGGCTGACTAAAAGATTTAAATAGTATAATATTACTGCCTAAGATGGCAGGTGTTTGATAAATGGTAGTGAATTTTGTCATTCTTGTCATTGCTTGTGTATGTTATTTGTTGTATATAGAAATGTAATCAAACCTCCTGTACTAGAGTGTGTGCTCTTTCAGGATGGTGAACCACACTTTGACATTTTGTATAAAGTTTAATATATTGACAAATATTTGTTGATTGAACACATTATTTTTTGTCTTTGCTTGACTTTTGCAAAGAAACTATTGGCATATACCAGAAAGAAAACTTTCTAAAAGTTATTTTGTGAATGATTTTGTTAAAAATTCTCTACAGGTACCTTTTCGCCTGTAATTTGTGTTTTGAAATCTGAGAATTCCACCAAGATAATATGATAGGAACTTTCAGTGATTTGGGGCCATATCCTACTTAGACTGACGCGGTACTGCCACATTTCCTGAGAGCTTGCTACAGAGGTGCACACAGCTTGTTAACTGCCACGGACAATAATGCCATCTCTGCCCCAAGAAGGAGGTAAGCAGATTGATGTTACATGTCATGAACATGTTAGGGATAATTATTGTTAATTTTTTAAATCATTCAAATTAGTTTTGAACTTTTAAGATATCATAGTTATTGTTTTGTGGTAGGAGGGACTTGTATTTCTGGTGTGGATTTTAAAAAAATTACAGTAATATTTGATTAATACTTTCTTTTAAAGTTATCCAGGCACCCTCTCCCCTGAATCTGAGTACAGAATTACCTTATCAAAGCACCATGAAAAGGAAAGTCAGAAAGAAGAAAAAGAAGGGAATCATTACAGCAAATGTTGCTGGGACAAAGTTTGAAATTGGTAGGTTTCTTGATAATAACAGGATTTTCATAGCTGTTGGAAGAATTAATTTGGTGTTGAAAACTGTAGAATTTCAGAGAGATAAGTACCTTTTATGTAACAGATTTTTTAGTGCCTTCTATAAAGTTTATGACATGTTGGAGGAATTCTTTTCCAATGCAGTGGAGGAAGATTTCTTTTAAAAAGATGTTAATTGAGTTTTATAATTTCAGTTAAAACAAAAATGCAGTTAAAATAGCTTAGATAAAAAAGGATTGAAAATGTAATACCCGAACTTTTCCTTAAAGCTCGGCTTTGCCAGTTCTCAAGTTTGACATTGATAATAAAAGAAATTTATATAAGACTGACCGCATAGATTTGATTTTGTGAATATCAGAAAACAGTGTTTTCCACTATTCTTTTTAAAATTTTATTGGTACACTTTTGATATACATAGTTATCATATTCTTCATAAGGAATTTGTACCTGTACACGATATATCTTGATTCTTCTTCTTTTTTTTCTCATTCCCCTCCTCTCCCTTCAAGCCTTCTATTCTTCCTTATTTGGAGAAGCTTTGTTTGCATTTTTCTTTCTGTTCATGTCATGTATGTTACCAGCCTCTCCAGCTTGTGGAATGCTCACCAACGGGTTAAAGATGCTTATTACATGCGCTCCCTCCACAGTTTCCAGGAGTTCCACTTATTTTGTCTGGGTCTTCTCAGGTATTACCAAGAGGCTCCAGAAAGTGTCTCACTTCCTCAGGAATAGGTCTGATCCTGTGCTGGCCTTCTGAAGCCCTCATTGTTTTCTGGGTGTGAGCCAGTTATAGGAATCTCCCAGGCAGTGGTGAGGTTGCAGTTGCCCTCTGTGAGAGCATTAGGTAGCACACAGCTGCTGAGCCCCAGGATGCTAAGGCTGCATGGTAATCTATAGCCTAGGAAAGAGGTACAGTGCTTGTGCATTCATTGCGGTCACCGGGGGCTGCATTCCATTTCCACTCTTCTGGAAAACAGCAGCTCCATTCACCTGCCCCTTCCCTGACCTCATCTTCTCCCATTCACTGTGCTCTCAGTTATGCTTGCATTCTGGGAGGGTTTGCATATGAAATCCTTCTCCTCAAGCAGCCAATGGTGAAGAGTTCTAGGACCCCAGACCAAAAGATTATCAGTTTTGAACAGAGCTGTCATTCAGACAGTTGATATAGAGGGTGCTCATAAAAAGAGAACTTTTAAAAATAAAACATTAAAGTACTGCTGTATAGGTATACCATTCGTTAGGACTCAGAATTCTGTTGGCACCCCAAATTTACCCTAAATATATTCCTTATTTTTGAAATTTGTTGGAAGGAAAGTGGCAGTATGTTGACTGTGAAATCTAGATCTGAGAGGAACATGTAAATAGATTTTACTCAGAAGGAAGCCTTTTTCTGAACATGAGTTTTTCAATAGAATTACAAGGTCAGGACTGCAGGAGGATCAATATGCAAATCTTTCCTGTGAACTCCTCTTTATTTCATGTCCTGAGTAAACAAAGATAACTTGGATTAAGTTCCAGCAATAATTTCAACTAGGGATGTGGAAAGTATAAGGTAGATCTGATGATCAAGGGTTATTTTTACCTTTGTCCTTGGTTACCTAGCTCCAGGTTATGAAAAAGCCATGAAATTACATTTTCCTGAGTAGAGGTGTTGTCTCAGCTATCTGTATTTTCATGGTGCTAAAATTAATTGTGATGTCCTTTGGCAGTTTTGTGTACCTGTTAAATCTGAGAGGAAGGAAACTAAGGAATGAGCTATGCTATAATATTGTTCTCAGTTACTACAGAGAACAATTTGGTCCCAGATAAAGCTGTTATAATTAAAAACATGACTATGCTATAACTAATGGATATTTTGCAAACAAAACACTGTGAATTAATATATTACATTATGTGTAAAAGATAATATATATTGTTTCCAACAATGACTGTATTTCAAAAGTATTTTAATTCCACCTTAACTGTTTACTTTCAGTTCGTTTAGTAATAGATGAAATGGGATTTATGAAAACTCCAGATGAAGATGAAACAAGTAACCTTATATGGTGTGATTCTGCTGTTCAGCAGGAGAAGATTGCAGAGCTACAAAATTACCAGGTGGGAAATTAATCATGAGAAATTATTGGTATGAGGAAAGTTATATGAATTCCATGATAGTTTTCTTTATATAAATTCCTGGTGTGTTGACATATTAGATTTCATTTCTAACTCCTGAATAGCTGTTTTATTGCTATCCATTTGACTCACTTTCGCATGAAACTTGTATCCCTTTCAAACTTCAAATTCTTCTTTAAAGAAGAATCAAGAGAGAGAGAGAGAGAGAGAGAGAGAGAGAGGGAAAAAAAAACCCTTACTAAGATTGTGCTTTGCATTATACACAAATATGAGTAATGAAATAGATTGCATGGGGAGATGAGGTTGTGAAAGTAACTTGTTTTGTCAATTTTATGTAATCTGGTGTTTTTATAATAGAATCTTATATTCAGGAGAAAATAAACATCAAATTAAGAATCCAAATACTAACAAGTTTAGACAGTTGTGATTTTTGTATAGTCCTTCATCTACTGATTTAGAGATTAGTGCACAAGTGATCAGCGGGAACAAATATTATACTTCCATTTTCATAATTTTTCTACAGTGACTGTATGTATAAATATATTAAATCTAGTATACCAAAACAATTTGCATGTTGAATTACCATTTATTCAACAAAGACCACTAGAACATTATCATCTATGTTATCTTCTGATTCTTTTGAAATGTTGTGGCTGGGGATTTAGCTCAGTGGTTCTGCTGCCTGCTTCACAAGTGCAAGGTCCCGAGTTCGATCCCCAGGACCAAAATAAAAAAAGAAAATATGCTATGTGAAATTTTATAATTTTATTCTCTGATAACTATAGATAGGTTGATTCCAGAAATTAATTATAGGCCACTTGATTTTAACCTTTTAAAAGTTGTCAGTTTGTTAAGATATAAAACTCAAAGGGAAGACTTAACTGCATTATAGTATAAATAAATATATTCAATAAGTCAATGAGAATAATTATCTTTTTATTTTCCAGAGGATCAACCATTTTCCAGGAATGGGGGAGATCTGTAGGAAGGATTTCTTAGCAAGAAATATGACCAAGTAATCTTCATTTTCTTGTAATAGAGAACTGTTCAGAATTTGTTTTGAATATTACAGTATTATCTTTGTATAAAGTAACATTGAATTGAAATGATATTTAGATTGAAGAAAGAGAATTCTAGCACTAGAATGACGTCCCCTATTCCAATCTTTTACTTTACGGAGGAAATAATTGGAGGTCAAAGAAATGAATAGCTTGCACAAAGTCAAACAAGTAGTGACCAGCAGAGCTGATCAGAATCCCAGTCTTCCGAATCTCCACTCTTTCAGTTGCACCTTGCTGTCTCTTAAGCAACAGAAGTTTGTCTTTTTTTTTTATTAGAGATTGCAAACATACATGACAACAAGAAATGAAGATACTAAATAAAAATTTTAAATATACATATATATGACAGCAAAAATGGTCATAAAATAAACAAAAATTTTTGCAACACAGACTGATAATCTGAATACATTATTAGTTTGATATGATCTTCAAACATTATATGTTCTTTCTCATTTTCTTATATAATGTTTTGTTTTGGTTTTTTTTGGTACTGGGGATTGAACTTGGGTCTTTGTGCTTGCAAGGCAGGCAGCAGAACCACTGAGATAAATCCCCAGCCCAAAATATACTTATATTTGAAATCCAAAAGCAACTAAAAGAGTTCACATTTTTAAGATCAGATTTTTCTGTTTCTGTTTTATTATATCCCATACTTATTTTTATTATATTTTTTATAAGCATAATGATAGAATTTAACACCAATACATGTGTAATATTCTTCCCAAACAAATGACTATGAATTAAATCAAGCATGTAATTTAGAGAAATCATAAAGTTGGCAGAGAAACTATCGATATGTCAAATGTGCACAATCCTACCACATTCATGACCATGTTTCTCATTTAATAGTGCACACATATGTGTAAAAACATACCCCCCCACATATACACAATGCATATTTTCTACAATACAATATATACTTTGGTATAATAAAACAGTGCAGTAATGTGTAAAATGTTTGTGATTTGTGTGATTTGAGAAAAACAAATATCATCTTTGAGGCAGTTGGAGAATTTGTAATATGTACCAGATACTAAATAATATTAATGATTTATTATCCATTTATTTAAGTATAGTTATGATAAAATTTACTTAAAAATAATATTCATTAATATTCGTTTGTCTTTTAAATAGAAGTGGTAATTTGTATATGGCATTCAGTAGATACTTATTTTCAGTTTAACCGTGAAGAAACTAATTTGTTGTCTTTTGTGCTGTGTGTGTTCATGTTGGTTTCTGCACATGTAGCATGTGTGAGGAACTGTACAGGTGCATGTGGGTACACAAGTGAGCATGCCTGCCCAGGCATATGCGTGCATCTGTATTTATCTCTGAGGCTGCTAGTCACTGTAATCGTTTACTTTCTGAGAAAAACTATTTTGATAAATGGACTGAAGGATTTTTATTCAGTTTATATTTCTGTTGTTTAGAATCTTTAAAGATTTCTTATAAGAATGTTGGGTGCTAAGCGGTTTTTTTTTAAAAGAGGACTATTCATATTAATCAATTTATGTTACAGTTAGAGAAATAGTGATATGATTTTATGTAAATGTTTATAATTATGTACTTACTCGGCAATTTTGGGTATGTTCCAGGGACTGCTGATTTTTAAGATAGGTAAGACCCAGTCCCTGCCTAGAATTCAGTTTTTAGTAACAGAGGGATACTACTAATAGGCACAACAGTTTGGAGATATGAGGGGACAGAGATGGTGGGTGAGGTCACTGGTATGAGGTCAGGGAAGGCTCTCTTGCACTGTTAAAATACGAAATGGTAGTAGAAGTGTGCAGAAGTTTGTCTTTAAGAAGGAGATAAGTAGATTATAGGCAAAGATAACAGTGGAAGAAGATACATGGCAGCTTGAGCCACCATAATTTTGGGGATCTTAAAGCATTCCTGTAGATATGTAGGATGTTAGGAGGTTCAACATGACGAAGCTGAAGATACACATTCCATGTTACTTTATTTCTTCATTCAGTCATCTCATTCAGTACTCAACATACACATGCACACAGGCACACATGTACACACATCATTTCTGAGATAAATACAAAGCTTTTGAATGAGTTTACGCAGCATAATGTTTCAGAAAATTGTGGGGCACTGTGGACAATGAATTCATTAGAGATCGAACTAGAGGGACAGAGCTTGCAAGGAGATGACTGTATCTGGGTAGGAAGTGATGATTGTCTAGTGCGCCACAAAAGTGATAGTGGAAGCGGGGGAGGGAGAATACATCTGAAAGATAGTAAAAAGATGCAATTGATAGGATTTGAAAACTGCTGTGATGTGAGAATTAAAGGTGGGAAGGAAGAAGTCTTCAAGGTGACCCTTAGGTTTCTGGCTTGGACATTGTGTAGGTATCCATAGTATAATTTCAGAGATTACATGGAAAAGAATGAGCTTCAGAAAAAAAGGGAATTACTTCCTTCAAGTTTGGGATATATGTTTTACTTGATACTTCATACCTTTATTATGTGCCTACTATATAGCCGGCATGGTGCTGGGCTCTGGGCACGTGAGTTGATCAGAAGCAGACTTAGGTTCTTATAATATTCATTTGCAACCTTGATAAGTGCCATGAAGTAGAGTCCATAGTTCTGTAATGGTTGCATGGAAAAGAACTCTGATCTAATTTGGGAGATTGGGGAGTATTTCCCTGTGGAAGCCATGTGGAAACTGATACAGGAGTGATGAATAGGAGCTGACTGGTGCCTGCTATAGGTAAGAACCATCCAGGCAGGAAGAACAGCATGAACCATGGTCATGCAGTGGGAGAAAATGTGCATAATCAAGATACTGAACGAATGCTAAGTGCAGTTGGAGCTCAGAGATATGGATGGAATGGGGAGAGCTTAGGTAAAGGGCGATGTTCAGAATTAGTCTTGCCCTGGACGGTGTATGGGAGGTGGGGATGAAACTGAAAATAGTAGTAAGTTGGCCAGATTTGCATTTTGCAAAGATCCTTTCTGGCTGCTTTGCAGAGAATAGTTTGTATGATACAAAGAGGTGAGAGGGTAAGCAGTTTCTCATTCCTTAGGATCCTTGGAACTCTCCTTAAGGATGAAATATTTTTCTATTAGAAAAAAATGTTATGACCTGGTAGTACAAAGTTAACTAAATTACATATTTAATGTCATTTAGTAAATCTGCGATAAAACAAATTATCTAACTGCCAAATTCCTAACTAAAGGTATTGCTTTTCAAGATAGATTACCTAAATGGAAGAAAGTATTCTGCTCATTTATAAAAGATTTGCACACATTTTGAAAAACTTTTTTGAAACATTTTTTCATAATAGGCATTATTTTGATTTTTTTCATAATTTATTTTTGGGGGAATTAGTATTACAAAATAATATTTGGGAATAATAAAACAATTAACATTTTTGGGTCTGCGATTTAGCTCAGTGGTGCCACCACCTGCTTCACAAACACAAAGTCCAGAGTTTGATCCTTGGTACTAAAAAAACAAAAAACCCAAAACCAGAAAAACATTTTATGCCAAGTATTATGTATAAATTATGCATCAAATAGGCAGCCTAATTTATAGCAAATACAAAAACATCACTTGCATGCATTGTAGTTGTATAATTATCCAAGTAGTAGTTCATATAAATAAAACCTGTATACACTATCACAAGCTGTCATGTGGTTTTCTTAGAAAAGCAGTTAAATTCTCAAAGACAGTGCATAAAAAGGGATCACAGGCTGCTCTGAATGGATGACCCAGAAAACCCAAAAATCATGTTTAAAGAGAAAAAATGAATGGCACTTGGCTTGGAAACATACCCTTTTCCCTAACCCTGCACACTAGATTGAGGTAAATAACTCCTACATATTATTTTGCCTTACCTGCTGTCAGTCTGTTTATAGCATGGGTTTGTAATTAGTAACCTCTGTAAATTCATCAGGGACAGAGATCACACTATCTTATTTTAATATCACCAGTGTTCAGCACAGCGTACAGCCAGATCTTTGTAATGTAGTAATACTGACTTAGTACTTCACAGTGCAGATCTTTTTGTCTGATTTTTTTCCACTTGTATCCAAGTGTACAGTGTCTAGTACATAGTAGATGTTTAGGCAAGGTCTATTAGCAAATAGATATTTATGAAGGAACAGAGGGAATTTAAGTCTTTGTAGTATCAGTAGCTCAAGGAAATACAATTTGTAAAGTTTGAAGAGAAATTATTTTTCAGATTGTCTCTACTTTACAGAATGATCAAGTCTCGTCCTCTGGATTACACCTTTGTTCCTCGGACATGGATCTTCCCTTCTGAATACACTCAATTTCAGAACCATGTGAAGGAATTGAAGAAAAAGCGGAAGCAGAAAACCTTTATAGTAAAACCAGCTAATGGTGCAATGGGACACGGGTAAGTTTAGTTTTACTTGAAATATATAAAAATTTTTAAAATGGAAAAGAATAAATGTGTCTAATTACCAGGTTGAGTGCCATTATTAAAAAATAGGAAGTTTCTAACTTTTACTTGTTTGGGACTAATTTTTTTTTGGGGGGGGACTAAAATGAGCCTTATTCTTCTAACATGTCTCACAGGCTTCAGTAATTCAGTTTAAGAATTAAATCAACAAATTGTGAGACTTTAATAGGAGATAAAAACATAAGAGAAAAAACTTCTAATTTCTTCATAAATGTAATATTTATGATAATTTTAATAAGGTTGGAGAATGAAGTAAATTGTTATTGGAGAGCTAAATTAACCTGGAAAAAGAAACAGAAAGGGAGTTACTCTTTCTGTAGCTAAAATTCTTGAAGCAAAATATGTGTGTTCTTTGCTTCATAATTATTTTTCTTTGTGTAGCCATGGTAATTGTATCTAAAATAAAGTAGAATGCATCTTAAGGTAGAGTGCCAAAAACTAGAAGTGTTAGCTGAGAATAGAACATGCAACTTAAAATTCCTGTTTGCTTTTTGCTCACTTATGTTTAGTTTTCTGCAATGCACATTTTCAAAGAAAATATGCTGAGGTTGTTTTTAATAAAATATACTTGAATCATTTTAATTTTTGAAATTAGAAATTACTTGAAAAATTCTGTGGGATTAAAAAATACGTGAAATGGTAGCTATCAGATTAAATTATTGTTCAAGAAATTTGCTTTAACTTTTAAGCATAATATAATAATGCAATCATATATTATTTTAAAATGTGGTTTAGTAGTTTAAAAATAAACACTTGTGTGATTTTATATTGTCCAACGTTGACTTTTTTTTTGGAGACACAGTCTTGCTTTGTAGTTCAGGCTAGCTTCAAACTCACTGAGTAGCCCAGGCTGGCCTTGAACTTGTGGCAGTCCTCCTGCCTCAGCCTCCCAAGTGCTGTGATTACAGGTGTGTACTACCCAGCTATCAACTTCTTTTTTGGGGTTACTAACTTCTTATATGTTAGTATAAAAAGAAAATTTGAGTTGGAAGAGAATTGCATTTTACATTTAATCTATTTTTAAAAATTTAATATTAATATATTTATATTTACAAGGTTATCTTTATTGTTAAATCATACGTAAGTAAGAACTTTCCAGCTTAATCTTCCTGTTTCTTTTGATGACAATATAGCAAGTAACTGGTGAGTGGTAGTGCACACACCTTCAGTACTGAAACAGGCAGTTTACAGCTCTGCCTTCACCTTTAGCTTGCTTAGGTAGAGTTTCATGATTAGCCAGAGATGAGAATTTAGGGCCTTCTCAGATCTTTCCGGAGCATACATCTAGGTTGGGCGTACACATTGACTTCTACTCCGAATGAATATGTTAGAGCTATACAAAGACTCAAAGAATTTCATCCCCTAGCATTTGCCCAGTCTTTTTAGTTACTCCCTTCTTTGCTCTGAGTGTTATCTTTTGGCCTAGCCAGCAGGGATATTTGCTTTAAATGTTTCCAACGGTTGCTCCTCAAGGTAGGCAACTTAGCACTAGCAGTTACAAGTTAGGTAAGGTGAAAGCAAGCCCCCCCCCAGGTAAAATAACCACAAGAATGGAGCCCATTCTGTGGGAGCAGCAATGTGGGCTGTTGTTCAAGGTCTCTGCTGAACTGGAATTTGGTGGTGGAAGGAGAGCAACTTAAAATGCCAGGGGTGTCTTTTTGTTTGTTTTTAGTACAGATCCAGCTGTTATTTTCTTGATTAATTATTTTCTGGATATTGCAAACTTTAAGCTGTTTCTATAATTGAAAAGTTGATGTATTTTTTTGTTGTTGTTATTCATCGCTTTTGTGGAGGGACTGATGTTGGAGTTTCTCATTGCACTGTTTTCCTCTTTAGTGAGTATGGAGGTAACTTTTGAACATCTTGCCTCTAGATTGATTTGATTAAATTATTCTTTTTGTTTTTTTCTTTACACTTAGGATTTCATTGATAAGAAATGGGGATAAACTTCCATCTCAGGATCATTTGATTGTTCAAGAATATATTGAAAAGCCTTTCCTAATGGAAGGTTACAAGTTTGATTTACGAATTTATATTCTGGTAACATCCTGTGATCCATTAAAAATATTTCTTTACCATGATGGACTTGTGCGAATGGGAACAGAGAAGTACATTCCACCTAATGAGTCCAATTTGGTAAGTGATGCCATAAAGAATCTGTTTCATTCATTTGTTCAACATCTACTCCTAAAGCATCTATTATTTATAAACATTTTATGAGTCAAAGTTCCTCCTCTTAGGTTTTTATGGTCTAGAAGAGTCATGCTTATAAACAAGACTACTTCTAACTTACAGGAAACTTCTGAAAATTCGCGAAAGCGTGTCTTGATATAGGCAGGCTAATTAGGAAAAGGTACATCTGGGTACTGCAAAAACAAGGCTAGATTTCCTAGGACACATCTTTATGCCATGGGCATATACAGAAGGACTGTGATAGAAATAAAAGTAATGTGCCATGGAGTACAGGTTCAAGTGCTAATGGAGCGTAGTTCAGCGATAGTTAAGTGCTCAGCTCCTCATTGAGGGTCTGGCTTTTCAGTGGGTTTTGTATAAGAGAAGGAGTGTGTGTGAACCTGTAGAATGTGAATATATAGCTTATGAAACCAAAAGAGTGTAAAATTTGCCAAGTAGTTTTTAATTTTTATAGCATGAAAGAGAAATGAGATTGTAAATTTACACTAACCAAATGTGAAATTGAAACAAATTAGTCATGTGCATTTAAAAAAATATTAAATGGAGCGTTTTGAGGTATTTTTCCATTAAGATTTCCTTTTTGCAACTACAAGACATTCATAAAAATAATAATTTATTGTAAAAATCACAAACTATAATTTACAGTTTATATAAGTTGAATTGTGATGTATGATCTATACTTTAAAATTTAGTTAATATGAAATGCTATTTTGGGAACTAGTAACTATATTACAATTAATGTTTCTCAGTTTGTCAGAGGCCTGATTGTTCTCAACTATCATGTACACAATTATTTGTATTAAGATTGGTCATGTTTTCAAAATTAAATAGTGGCTGATCATAAATGTTGCTATGTTCAATAAATTAAAAATGCTGTAAAACTGACAAAGGAAACATGAAGTAACTGTCTAAAAGTTTTGATAGGAAACATCTCATTAGAGGTCACAAGGTGTGGATATAGCCAATTACCAAGTAATGTTTGAACTCTCCTACATTCTAGGCATTTTGCTGGTTTTGAAAAACAGTGACCAAGGCAGACGCAGTGCCTGCCCTCACAGAAGCAGTAGTCTAGTGGGGAGGCAGAAAATAAAATAAGCAATTATAATACCTAATGGTAAGTGTGATGGTCCAAGAGATTGAGCTATTGCAGTGTGTAGCAGGGTCCACTCACCCAGCTGAAGATAAAGGATAGAGAGGGAGGTTGTAAATTGAAGTCTGACTGATGCAGAGTCAGCCAGATTGGGTAGAGTGGGATGCAGTTGGATGAAGCTCCAGGCAAGAGAATGGATTGGAAGTAAAAGAGACTGGAATGTCTGGGCAGGTTCCCATTGGCTAATGTACAGGCTAAGAAGGAATGTTTAGACCTGGCAGAAAGAGTCCTAGGAACCAGATCTTTCAGAACTTTGTAGCCCTTGCCTAGGGTTTTGGAAGTTAAGATGAAGGAAGGAATGAAATTTTTGTTTACAAAAGGGTTGATTGGTCTGCATTGTGGAGAATGTGAGAAGGCAGCGGAGAAGGATAAAGCAGACAGCAATCATATTTTAGTCTGACCGTATATGAGAGGAGATGTAATTTGAATGGAAATAATAGCAGTGGGGCTGGGCTTACGGGACAGACATGCATCTGAACTGTATCTAAGGTTACACAGATGGCATTCATGAAGTATGAAGATAGGTTGGATTTGTGGAATGAGAATAAGAGAGAGGGAAATCAAGGCAAAAACTCAAATGTGTGTTTGGGGCCCTAGGATTGTAGGGTATTACTGTCTGTGAGAATGGAATACAGGCGCTATTAAAGGTTTTGTGAGAAACTCATGCATTCAATTTAAATGCTTGTGTGACATTAAGAAGACTTACTCTATAGGCATTTGGATATACGCATGGGCTTGAAGTTCAACCAAGAGATCTGAGTGATAACATAATTTGAAAATTATCATCTGATTATGATTAAGCTAATTGAGGTTTTAAAATTGAATTGCATATATATAAGGAGGTAGTTATCTTTTGATACTATTGGAGAGAGGAAGACTTGGACATTCTTTTAGGTGATAAAATGCTTCATTCTTATGTACTGTTGTTTTTATATCCTTTGCTTAAATACACTGGGTTAGGAAATCATGAGAGACAGGGAGAAGAGAAACGTAATCTCTTGTGTGTCATTTTGCCAAATGTTTTTGGCAAATAACCATCTCGCTTTGTTTGTTTATTCATTTGTTATGCTTATTGGTACATTTTTGGTGTACATTATGATCCCATTCATCATTGGGAATTTGTACCTGCATGTGATATGTCTTAGTTCTTATTTTTCCAATTCCCCTTCCTTCCCTTCCACCCCTTCCCATTTACAAAAGCTTTGTTTCCATTTTTTTCCTTTTCTCATTTTACATATATAGAAAAGGATGTTCTTTTAGTTAAATGCAGAATTCCTCATCTGTCTCTACACTTTCATAGTTGAGTTTATAGATTGATATATGAAAAAATGAAAAAAATCCAACATTTTATGTAAACTGAGACCACAAATATATAAAAGGTAAGTTTAAGAAAAAAGACTTGAAAAAAGGCACAACAACAACAAAATGCCTTCACTGGTCAGCTTTGAGTGACACATCACTGTATGTTTTTTTCTTTATATTTCCAGTTTTTAAGAAATATATTCTGTAACAAGTGGTGCATTTTTATGACAATTAAATGTTCTTAAATTACAGAGATAAGACAAATTTTCAAATGTTGTTGAAGTGTAATAAATCTTTATTTTTCCCTTTTTTTTTTGCCGCCATATAGTGGTTGGTCAATCCTTGAAAATTTCTGTATGTGCTAATTCATTATGTTGAACCTATATACTGACAGGCAGAATAGGGTATGAGTTTTATTATTTTACCCCTTTCAAGTAGTTATGTGGCTCATAACTTCCTTCACTTCTATAGTTGCTCCTTAAACATCATTTAGTAAATACATCCTTAATTAGTGGTAAGCACATGAACTTTTCAACATATAACTAAGCCATCATCTCTCTTTACTTCTAAGATTTTATTACAGCAGATCTAAGGAACTTTAGTAAAAATAAAGTAAAACTTGACTATAGTTATTATTAAGAAATCAAAGTAATAATCAGGTGGATGAAATATGTATTTGTTCAAATGCAGTATTTGTATCCAAAGTAATCTTTGGGAGAAGGATAATGAGGAAAGTTGGAATTAAAGATGAAATTTGAGAAATATTTATGTAGCTTGATAAGGAACCGTTCAGTGTGTATTGACATGAGAAATTAAAATTTTGGATTATTTTAAAGTTTAAGGAAAACCACTTATTTAAGAATAAAGAGGACAGAGGAGGGCATGGGGATGTATACCTGTAATCTCAGCACTGGGGAGGGTGAGGCAGGAGAGTGGCTGTGAGTTAGGGTGAGGCCAACATGTACTACCGTGAGCTGAGGGCTAGTCTGAGCTGTATAACAAGACCCTTCTCAATAAACTAGAAAAAAAAAAAAGAATAAAAGACACTAATCTTAAGGAACCCTGGTATGGAGCATAATTCATTTCCTTTTAATCATTCAGATATCTGTCTGCATAGCGTTATGTGGGGCATCCCCCTCTCTGGCTGGTCCATGAAACACAATGGCTTCCCAGCCAGTGCCATGCAGTTTGGCAGTCCTGCCTCTTGGTCTGAATATTAGGGCTTTCATTTTTTTTTTTACTTTTTTTTTTTTAAAGACATGGAAGCCTTTCTCAGAAGATTCCTTTTCTCAAACAAATCTGTTATACTGTAAGGGCCCAAAATGTTAAAAATAAAAATAAATTTGGAGATTTTTCTTCCTTAGCAATATGCAACTTTGTATTTTAATTACTTTCTTTATTCATATTTATTTATTGTTATTATTTTTTTGTACCGGGGATTGAACTCAGGACCTTAACCACTGAGATATATCCCCGACCCTTTGTTTAGTATTTTTAATATTGTGAATGACACTTAAAGTCATACTGTAGATGACTACATTCTCAGGTCCTTCAAGGAAAATCTGTCATTCCATTTTACTTGAAAATTAAATAACCATGAGGTTGTCAGCTTGTATTGTTTCAACTTTGAACTTGTTATTAGTCTTAGAATGACTTCTTTTCTGTGAGCCCATAAAACTGTAAAATGTCATAGGCGTTAACAACTTTGTTTCTTGTTACAGACCCAGTTATACATGCATCTGACAAACTACTCTGTGAACAAGCATAATGAACGTTTTGAACGGGATGAAACTGAAGACAAAGGCAGCAAACGCTCTATTAAATGGTTCACTGAATTTTTACAAGAGAATCACCATGATGTTGCTAAGTTTTGGAGTGATATTTCAGTAAGATCATCCCATTCCACAATTGTAACTGTCGATTTAAAATGCCATCAAGTAATTTAAATAAAGAAGAGCTTTCATTAGCTTGGGCAGAGAAAGAGCATTTCTTTGTGATTGACCTTGACAAAAAGAATTTCGCTGCTAGGGAGAGAGGAGTTTTAGGTGGAGAAGGAAGCCTACATAAAGGCACGAGAGCATGAGAATTGTAGGTGGCTCACATAGAGCCTGTGGGAGATTTGTGAGGACTTGCTGCTGCTGAGAAATGTGTGGAGGTAAAGCAATGGGAATTCGTGCAGTTTTTAATGGAAGAGAGAAATATGACAAAAACCTCCATGTATTTAAAAGCGAGATTTGAGAATATGAGTAAGATACATTAAAGCAAAGACTGAGAGTAGGTAGAGAGGACATGTGGGAGGCTCTTAAAGGTAGTGGAAATGAAAAGAATGGTCTGAATTGGATCATAGTATATGAGGGGACCGTATGGTAAACATTGAGATTAACTGAATGTCCAGGGTGGAGAGTTTCAGAGGTCCCTCTGAAGTTTCAAGGAAGAATGGTAGGGAGAATGGCGCTGTCTGAACTAGAATAGGAAGGAATTTATTTTAAGATGTAGAACTTGATATTGAAGTTAGAAAATGTTTTATTTGCTTATTCATTGTTTATTTATTTAATGCATAGCATGAGCCTCTGGTTGATAAATATCTAGAAGACACCGCTCTGATCCTCAAAAACTTAGAGTCTCGTAAGAAAACATGCACAAGAATTGTTTGTGAAATGCAATGTAGCAAATGCAACAGCAGAGACAGGCATTGGGTTCTGTGGGGTATAGAGGAAGACCACATATAGCAGCTTCAATGAAATGGCTAAAAGAATCTTCCTGGAAATATTGACACTTGATTTGAGGATTTTAAAGTCCTTGAGGCTGTGATGTTGAGTTCCACTCTAGATAAGTTGACCTTGAAGTGCTGCCTCAGGAAAATAGGCAGTCAAGGGTATGTATTTGATGTGCAGTTGACAAAGGCGTGACAAGGCTGAAATTCCAAAGGGTTGATGATCAAAGTGAAACTAGATATAAAGATAACCTTGGTGAAGTAGATCCTGTATCAGTCCTAGCAGAAGTAGTAAAATAGTATTTAAATTTAGATGAGTGTGTCTGTTGAAAATTCTTAAAAGATTGGGCCATACAATTCAATTTAGCTTTCTTTTAGGGACACACAAGATATACTTTAAATAAATCTTGGAAGATGGCTGTGAAAGTTTGGAGTTGGTTGATCTTGGTTTTCTTCATCACGAGAATCAGAAAGAAAAGTCAGTATCATTATATTTATGCTCTGGGTGACTGTATTATTGGTTGATCAGTCTACCTTTTCATTAGCATAGGCTGTAAACCCAAGGTCTTTAGGTGTCAGAGATGTAAGGTAGATCAAGGAGTGATCCAGGTAGAACACAGCAAGGAGTTCTGGGAACCTTGGGAAGAGGTTGAGAGGGCCACATGTAATGGCCACTAATCAGAACCAGCCTGTCAGTTACCTTGGGTCCAGTGTGGCTCTTTCTGCTAATTTGTTAACATATTAGTGATTTATAGTGAATTTAAAAAATATAAAAATCTGTCATCTGGATATGGCCAGATGCCTACAAATTTGTTAATCTTCCATTATATCTTCCTGAGAGACAATATTCTAAATAGGGAATTTGATAATACAAATGCATGTTTAATTATTTAACTTACTGAGGCCAGTTCCAAAGACTGTTATAAAAATGGCAGTTTACTATCTTAGTGGGTTGGAAGCATTCCCCTAAGCATAGTGAAATTTGTTATTTTTGACCTGTAACTTATCGATGGAAAGTTCTACCTAATGATAGCTAGATAATTCAATAAATAAGTCCTTAGATTAACTCAGTAGTACCAAGAAAGTTTTATATATCCTCTGGCATTATATTTTTGTTTCTTTCTTTTTTTTTTTCCTTGGGTACCGGGGATCGAACTTGGGTTATTGTGCTTGCAAGGCGGGCAGCGTAACCACTGAGCTAAATCCCCAGCCCTATTTTTGTTTCTTTATCCATGTATGTTTTATTCATTGTGAAATATGGAACCCATTGGGCTGCCTTAGGGAAGAATACGTAGAGACTCACCCAGAGTGAAAAAATTAGCCTTAACACCCTTGAAGACATTGGTTTAGATGTTACTTTCCGCTCATGGGAATTAAGGAAAGATGTAGAAGCCAGACTAACAATAATATGAAGGTATAGAAATTAACTTTTCTGTTATAGCCTATAGCACAATTTTTAGATGTAACCTAAAAATGGTCAATTTGGGCCTGTAATGACACTCTAGTCTCTAGTCTGTAAATGGGTGAGCTTTGCATCATTCTTGACTATGTTAGTTAGAATGTATATTAATAATCCATAAGTGACCAGTGAAATAATCAGTTAACTTTTTCAAGTACTTTAGTGCAATCATCTTATCAATTTGTGTACATTTATGTAAGTATCTGAAAGTTTGCTTCAAGAATCGGTATATTTTATGCAGATATCTTTTAAAAGTGAATCGATGGAGTAAATTAAAAATAATTACAAGAGGAGTAATGAAAGCAATTACCTAGCAAATTTTTTATTTTAATGCTTTAGTTTACAAACTCCATGAATTTAATTTAAAACTTTTTTGGGTGGGGGTAATTTCTCTAAAAAAATAACCATCTTCCGTATTAATTCATGAAATACCCTGTGAAAAACAGAGTTGTGTGCTTTGTGTTAGTCAAGAATGAATAAGAAATCCATAGAAAGTCTGGCCATGGATATAAAAAATGAGTAGAATGACTCCTAATGGCTCCTAAAGTAGAATGACTCAGAGTTGTGTGCTTTGTGTTAGTCAAGAATGAATAAGAAATCCATAGAAAGTCTGGCCATGGAAATAAAAAATGAGTAGAATGACTCCTAAAGGCGTTCCTACTGAGTACCGTTTATGTACTTAAGAGATACATCATAAATCATATCAAATCAAGAACACATGTTGGAAATGCTGAAAAGCAGAAATAGAATTTCATTTGTGTTTGGTTATATTGCTCCTAATTTTCACATCTATTTATAGTTTTGCCCTTACTCTCTAAAAATGCGTTGTTTTCTATGTAGCAAGAACACAAATTTGTAATTCAAGGTCTATTAAATAATATTCACTGTTACCCTGTCCAGCCTGTGTTGTTTCACAGAGATACTTTTATTGGTCAGAGGTGGTTTTTTTCTTCCCCCACTCCTAAGTTGTTTCAAAGATATCTCCATAGATTTCTGTGAAGTCATTTTTTTTATCTCTCATCTTATACATTTTGAGATTTTAAACACAACTTCTTTTGTTTTTCACAACCTTTTGGGGCATGCCTGATATTTATCCCCAAATATCTATCTGATGTTTGTCTGAACTGGACTGTGGTTCTGAGCGACAGTGAGGCTAATGAGTACCCCCTCCTTTTCTCTCCCATGTGATAAACACTACTTCCCCCAGGTAGAGTAATATTTGTGCCTGACCTAACTTACTGTGTGGAGTTCTAGAAAAATGGTAGTTTAACAATAATAGTTAAGTAGCTAACATGTATTGCAACTTTAGTATAGGTATTATGCTACATGGAATCCCATTTTGTCCTGACACCAGCACCCTGATTTGAGGCTACCCAGGCCTCAAGTAGCAAAGCCAAGAGCAAACCCAGAGTCTGACTCAAGAGTCAAGTTCTTTTTTGCCTTCCTCTACTGCCTGTGCTTGTAGGGCAGAAGTTAGAAAGCTAATAATATACTACATTTTAAGTGAAAACTGTAAGATTGCTGGATTTTTCATAAGTCATTGCTTGTTCTCAAACTTCAATATAACAACTTTTAAAAATAGCACTAGAAACTTCTATATAGCAACAGGGAGATAGATCTTTTGCAAAAGGAAGGAGGCCAAGAGATGGAGGGAAGGAAGGGGGTGAGAAGGATAGAGAAGGAGATGGAGAAAGAATTAAGACGTATCACATCCATTTGCCGACTCCCCGTGAGGAATGTAAACATTGTGTACTACAAGCAGGTGCTAATAAAAATGAAACGAAAAATAGTGACTTGTTTAGGAGCTTCAGGAATCGGGATGCAGTGTGTTCTCTGCAGTCAGTTTCACTGTGTATTTGAGAAACTTACTCCAGTTTTCATATTACCACTTTCAAAATTCAAGATTTAAAAAAAAGTGTTGATAGTTCTTTATTTAGAAGTATTATTTTCTGAGGTAAATCTTATGAATTACAAAATCACCACTGTATGTAGTGGTGAAACTCAACTCTTGTAGATTCTGTGTCTCTGATCCTTTCAAACTTCGTCTAAAAAGAGGTTCATAGTGTAGTTTGCAGAATAAAGTACTGTCCTTGGAAATTTTCTTTCCAGTCATCCCCCTTCCCTTTTGTATGGGGTGAGCACACAACCCTACTCTTGCATATTTAATAAACAGAAGGAACATTCATGAACTTTTACTTATTTGTTCACAGATGTTTTAAGGATCTACTAAGTATGATGCACTGGGAATGGGGCTGCTTTTAAATAAGAAAAGAACTATGCTGTCATAAAAAGAAAAAAAAAACAAACTGTATGCTGTGTGCTGCTATAAGGAACGATTGGTAGTTACTTTTAAATGGTGTCCGTGGAGGCCTCACTGAGTATCACAGGCAGGCTTAGGGGAAAGGGTGTACCAGGAAGAAGGAATAGCCAGTGCCGAGGACCTACCCTCACTGGATGTGACACTGACTTGAAAAGTCCAAAAAAAGTAAGGTTCTGGGAAGGGAAGAGGTGAAGGAAATGTCTAAACAGTGGCAGGGGCTGGATGGCATACTTCTGGCCAGAAAACCAGTTAGGAGGCCCACATCCTGTTTGTTCAAATGTAAACGGGATACAGGGAAATAAGCATTTCACCTCTTTTGTCACAATCTCTATAGGAACTGGTGGTAAAGACTCTGATTGTAGCAGAACCTCATGTCTTACACGCCTATCGAATGTGCAGACCTGGTCAGCCTCCAGGAAGTGAAAGTGTGTGTTTCGAAGTTCTGGGATTTGACATTTTATTGGATAGAAAACTAAAGCCATGGCTTCTGGAGGTAAGGTGTTCTTTAAAAAGGAAGAGAGGTCATCCTAGTTCCTGTGTATTGAAACAAATGTGCTTTAAACCTGTACTTGGCATAGTTGTTCCCCTTAGCTGACTGTGAGGAGGCCTACAGTGTGTGGGAGGAAGAGAATAAAAATTAGGGGACTAGAACTTCTAGGAATGAATCAATATGTTTTTTGACACTGCCTTTCCCAGATTAGCATTGTCGAGTGAGATTTTTGAATATAAGGGCAGATCTTCTGTTACTGAGTTAACTGTTGTACTATTTTCCCAATCTTTACTGCCTCATGAGCTCTAGACATCCCTCTACTCAGCGTGGGTTTCTCCTATTTGGCGCCCTATGTGCCAAGAGGGGGGGGAGGGAGGGAGGGAGGCAGAGAGAGAGAGAGAGAGAGAGAGAGAGAGAGAGAGAGGCAGGCTACAGTTGGTTCATTATTCATTATTCAGAGCTCAGAACCCCAGCAGGCATACATTTCCTTAATGCCTTGGCTCTCCTTCTGTACAGCTAGTCAACTGTATGCCTTTGGTTTTGCTGCCCAGCCCTGGTAAAGTCAGAGTTGTCATTATTTTTCTGTGGTTATAAAAGGTCACCTAACAGTATTTGACAAATGAAAAAATATTACTGAGAAAATAAAGGTGATCTCTGTTGAAGATTTTTGCATTTCCTGCCGGCCATTCTTAATCACCCATTCGCGACCTTAGAAGTGATGTTGTCCAGCAGTGCCCCATAGCAGTCCCCTCTAGGCCCTCGGACCTTGGATCCTAGTTTTTTCTCAGGGCTTTAAAAATATTATTTAGGCCACTACCAGGAAAGTAGCATATATCTAAGCAATGTTTTACCAAGTTACATTGTAAGGAATGTATTACTATAGAAGATGTAATCTCCGTCTACTTTCATTCTAAATTGATTATGTCTTTTTTTGGTTAATGATTTAGAAGTTGGAAGTTATATTTGTAACATTAAGGCATGTACATGAACACTTTCTCATGTAATGGAGAGCAATTGAGAGAGTATTCATCTGCTAGGAACAAATTATGTGTGTTACATTTGCGAGCAAATAGTGGTTCTCAACTGGCTGTTCGTATTGGTCTAGCCTGGGTCCTAGAAATAAGATCTGAGGACTTTGCTAAACCTTTGCTTCTTCCATTGCCTAGGCCCTTAACCTTACTAAGGCCTGATATTTTTATCTTTAGGTTTGCTTCTTTGTCTAAAGTAGCCCTTTCCTGTTTTTAGCTGTGCCTTTTCTGCCTCTGCTACTTGTTTTTTTACACTCTTGATAGGTAGAGAAGTGGTGGAAGTATTTTCATGAGGAAGAACTGAAAGGATTGCAGAGAATAATGACTTTATAAATATCTTTATTACCTTTTTAAAAAAAGGCATTTGACTTACTGGAGTGTTTTTTTTAAATTAATTTCCTACACCATAGCTTACTGAATAATTGAATGCTGTATATATTTTTTTAAAGGCTCTAAATAATATGCTTCTTTATTCTTTATCTTTTCTCCTTCGCTGTTACCAGATCAGTGAGTCACTAAAAACTCCACAGTAATCAAAAACTGTGTATAGTGGGCATTTAGCATTTTAGAATAGTTAACCTTTTTAGATTTTTGATGTTTTTTTTTTTTAATTTTAAATTGAATTTATTGGTACATTCTAGGTAGACAGTACAGTTACATTCATTACTGGGATCTTGTACCTTTACATTCCAGGTCTTGGTTCTCATTTTTTCCCCTTGTCCCCACCCTCCCTTCACCCCCTCCTCCCCTTTAGATCTTGGTTTGTATATTCTCTGCTGAAATTGTAGTGGGTCTGGTAGTATATTGTTACAAGCCTTTTGGCGCCACCAAGTGGAATAAAGTAGAAGATACTTCTGAGAAAATGCCCAGTTTTAGCTAACTAGCATAATTTCAGATATTGATCGATAGTGGCAAAACTGAAGAAAATTTCAAGCATTGAAAACATTTTTAGAGCGGAAAATTGTGACATAAGAATATACTGCCAATATTTTAAGTCCCTGGAATTAAACAAAGGCAATTGTAGTCACTGTGTTAGGTGGTGGGAATACAAGGATTGGACAGAATACTTGCCCTGGTCTAGTGGAGACTCAGATGTGTTGTAATAGTTGTAAATTTTTTCAGGAAAACAAGAAAAGAGTACACAATAGAGTGATTATTGTCTCTGTGTTAGTGTGTATATCAAAGAGCTATTTTTTTAAGTCTTTGCAGAAGGAACATTTGGGCAGAGATTTTAAGTCTGGAGAAGGTAGGATAGAGGCTGGTGGGGGGGAGATGTGAGGTGAGCGGCTGGGAGAATGCCGCAGGTTAGAGGGAACAACACCGTGTAGGCTCCCAGACTCTGTTATGGGTACCTAGACGTGTGTGTGAAATGATAAGCCTGTTTGTTTTGGGCCATTACTAACAGTGTTCATTAATTTATTTTTCACTTTGAGATTTTTATAAGCTACTGAACTTTAAGATTCTAATATCTGCTGGGATTTCTCTGTTTTAGAATTGGAGTAGGAAGTGAGAACCAAAGAGACCACTGACATCGCAGAGGAGCATTTTGCTGGCTAGAACCCCATGTAGTGTTAAGTTTCTTTTGTCAGCCATTGTGGTTCTTGTTTTATTTCTTGATTTTTCTCATAAAACTTGATAAAGTTTTACTGTCTTTCCACATTAGTTTGTCATATGTAGGTAGATTTCTTCATAGACTATTTCACATTACAGGAAAGGGAATAATCTGGAAGAGGTAAGGAGGAGAAATATGAAGTTGTTCTATACCAGGACCTATCCTGGATTAAGGATAGACCTGGAGAAATTCTCAGCTACAACTTCGATGGAATGCAAAGAACTCTATAAAGATAGATAACATTCCAGTGTATTGCTCAGTCATCAGTTCTAGATGTCCTGGTTATTTTATAATCTTGTTACATGTAATAGTGGGAATATCATTAATTGTCTTACAAATCCAGATTTGAATAAATATAGGTGAAACTTTTTTCATATAAAATATATTACCCCTTTTCTGTACATGTAAGGAAAAATGCTTAGAGCTTTGAAGTAACAGATTAATAACCTCTCTTCCTTAAACTGACCTAGAAGACATAGGCATTCTTGTAATTTTCAAGTGATTTCCTTCTCTTTGATACTGCTTCCTTGTTACCACCTTCTAAGTCATAAAGATGTTAAAATATAGTATGACAGAGCTGTCTGAAAAAAGTACTGTGAATGCATAAAAATGATGGTATGATGAAAGATTGTTGTGATATATTGTTAAGAGAAAAACTTGGCTTATAAAATAAAGTGTAGTTGTTACCACACACGTATGTAGAAGATAAAGTGAATTTTTATTATACATGTATAGAAAATACCTAAATACTGTTTGTCAAAAGGTTAACAGCACACTAGGGGGTGATCTTTTGTTGTTAGTTTCCCTTCTATTTATAGTTTTTCTGCAGTGAACCTACACCACATTTATAAATAGAGACACAATCTTCCCCAATGGGTTTTTCAGTTTATGTGGCATTTCCTCAGTTGCCAGTGATAGAATGCATGCTATCAGCTATGAGTTGTTTTGTCTTTGTGTTGATGGTTTTGGACAGTTTCAACTAGCAGAAGACATTTTTGTTGAAATAGCCTAAGGAATTAGTTGGTGTTCTAGAAACAAACCTGTAGTTTTGAACTTAGCAATATTTCTAACCACCCTATTTAAGCAATTTTCTTAAACACCTGCTGTTCTTGTTAATTTTTACAACATTAATGGTACCCACCTCTTAAAATAAAGTAAGAAACACCAGTTCTTGAAATGATAGACTATTGTATGATGGATTTCAAGGTATATAAAGTTGCTTTTTTTGTTTTCCTCCTAAATGAACTCTTGGAGCTGATGACAGGAAGTAGGATAAACACAAATGGCTTATTTCTTTCTATTACTCCTTACACTCTTAGGAAAGCCCACAGAGGTTGGCCTGAAGCTACCTTTAAGCTTAACTTCTGAGTTGTTCAGTTGATACCTTTTGAAATGGAAATTGATAAAGTACTGTTTGAGCCAGGTAGAAAGAAACAAAATTTATTTTTTAAGCAGAAGGAGATGAACTCATAGATTTGAATAGATGAAGTAGCAAAAAGGGGTCACTAATACTTTCTACGTGCTGTCTGTTCATGTATATTTGTCACTGTGTTGGTGCTGTGAATAGCACTTTGTTTTTCTACCTCTTTGTCAAGACAAGTCACCTTTAACTTTTCTCATCTTAAAATCTTGAGGATATGGAGTAGTGGGCTGGAGAGAATTCCAGAAGGTGCTCTCCGCACAGGTCTTGGTCTGAAGGTGGTAGGGACGGGTGATGGACAGCAGAGATGGGGCAGAGGTACCTGGGCCTTGCACCTCACAGAGCTTTGAGATTCACTATGGCGCCCTGGTAAGGACTGGAGATCCCATTAGATGAAAACGCATTTGCCTTTCCTCATTGTCTCTTGGTAAATTTCAGATTAATCGAGCCCCAAGCTTTGGAACTGATCAGAAGATAGACTACGATGTAAAACGAGGAGTGCTGCTGAATGCACTGAAACTGCTAAACATCAGGTAAAGTGTTTCCTCCATCTTCTGAATCTTTTTTCAACATTTGGCATTGATAAGTCATTTATGCATGAAATTTTCTGTAATACTGTATTTTGAATTCTTTGATTCCATTCTTTTAAAACTAGATAGGTTCAGATCAATCTTTCCCCTTTTTACACTGCTTTTCCTGCCACTGATATAATGCTCTGCCTTCAGTAAATGTGGTTAGATTCCAGTGGTAATTATTTACTGAAGTGTAGGAGGTTGAATTGGGCAATATCATAGAAGACTCTGGCTTTTCCTCATTTTCCAAGAAGAAACTAAAGCACACAGAGGTAATTCAGGATATTAAAAAAAAAAATCAGACATAGATTCCCTACTTTTCTATTCATAGATCTTCCCACTAAGAACAGAGATGCAATTGTTCATAGTGAGAGTGACCTTTATCATAGAAGAGCATAGACAGAAGTGAAGTGTAACTTGAGAGGAGACTTATCTGGTGTGGTTGCATTGTACGTGTTCATGGATTTTAAGCATTTGAAATACTGTTATGTGGGGAGAGCGTTTGGCACACCACTAAAGAAAATTGTTAGCAGTGTAACTGAACTCTTCACGAATAGCGAGCTGTCTGCCATTGTAAGTGTTCTACCAGCATGGGTGTCAGATAACTGGACCTTTGATGCCAGGTAGGCTCTGCGAGTTTATGATTTTTTGGTTAGCTTTTCTTGAATTTTTAAGAGAATTTATCAAAAGATTACAAACTTCAAAACAAACTTAAGAATTTAATGAGGGGAAGAAAACTACAAAATGTTTTGGTACACAAACTGTTAAATTTCTTTTAGATTATTCTGTCTTTGTGATATTTTTGACGAAGAATTCAGTTGATCCCTTTGTAATTTGGATGACTGAATATAATTTGAGGTCAGATTCAGATAATCTTTTTGAAACATCAGGCTCAGGATCTTCAGAGACAGCAGAAAGCGAAAGGGTCTCTACATATATATCCCTTATTTGCAAACTAAATTATGGACTTCTGATTGGCAGATTAATACTACATTGACCTTGAAGATTTATTCTTGCTAATCCCTTGACACTAGTCTCTCAGTACACTTAGGTTTGGGTGTTCTGCTTCCTTACACTGTTTCTCTTAGTTCTTGGTCTCTTTTGGTTGTTTGTTTCTCCCTGTGTCCTTGCCTCAGATTTCTTCTTCCGTATGAGTTTCATCCACTTGTGGCATCATTTGTGAGTGCACTTGGAGTCCCCAGCCTGCACATGTATAGAGTGAGATATACACTGGATGCTTCTTGCTAGCTTTGACCTGCCGTAGAGCTCCAGACTGCATTGGCAGCTCTAGTTAACTGTGGGTCCTGTGCATGTCAGGCCTGGTAGGTTCAGAAAGCGAGTAGTGAGTGAGCAAGCAAGTAAGCAAATAAATGAAGGGTGCACCTTCTGATGACACTGGAATTTAATATGATTAAGGTTGAATTATTTTCTCTTTCAAATGTATTCCTCTTTCTGGGTTCATCTTTTTTTTCTGCTAATGATAATCACATACCTCCAAACCACAAAGGGTAAATCTAATTCACATGTTACTGGGTATTTTTAAAGAACCCATACTGTCCTAGAAGCTAAAGATTTAAAAAAATGCAGTTTCCTTTCCTTAAATATCTTAACTATTAAAGGCAATAGTAATCACCCCAATGTGTTTCCCATCTTTCTCTGTTAGTTAATGGCAAAAACCATCCACATGAAAGCCAGGCTAGTAAGCTGGACATTATCCTGAACTCCTTTTTCTTTTTCATTATGAATCAACTAAATTCTGTCAGATTTGTGACTATCCCTTATTTGTCAAGTTTAAGATCTTCTTTGTGTCTCCTTGATTATTTTATTGATTTTGATTTTCTTTCTGTTTCCAGTACTAACCTCCTCCCTGTTTTGCAGCTTCTACTCTGTTGCTTTGCTAATCATTCAGCAACTATTTATTGAGAGTTGAGGGTCCACTGCCACTGTAGGGAATACTGGGGATTCTGAGCCCCTTGTGATTCCTCGTGCTTTGGCTTGTGCAAATTTGATAAAATGACATTAAGTAAAGATCATAGGGAGTTACAAATTGAGAGGAATAATGGGGGACGGTAGAAAGAAAGATAATTCAGTTTTTAGCATGCTAATTTTAAGATGCTTTGAGATACCCAGGAAGAACTGCTGAATGGAAAATTTGTATACAGAGCCCCAGGAGCTGGAGATACCTATTTGACTGACATCCACATATTGATTGCATTTGAAACTAATGGTCACGATCACACATTTGTAGCGTATATTTTAGAAAGAGGGGCAGGAACAGAGTCCTGAGGGGTGCCAGCATTTGCAGCCACATTTATAAACTGATTCTGATCAGCTAGTTTCTGTACTGTTACTTAAAATATAAACTCCATGTTACATACAAAGTACTTTTTGATCTTTTGATTATATTTAAGATACTTTTTTATCTGGCACTTGCATCTCTGCAACCTGAGCACTTGTTCTTTTTTCTCTGCCTTCAAATTGATTTTTATAAAAACTCTTTTGTGGTGCTGTTTCTCGTTTATATGTCTTTGCATTTAATCTCATTTAACTAGTCATTCACTTTTGTCCGTCTGGTGAATGTTAAGTTCATTGTTTTTAGTTGTGGTAAAATATACTTCCCATGAAATTTACCATTGTAACCATTTATAACTGTGAAACTGATTGGCACTGCACGATGCTGTTATGTAAATAATAGTATCCATCTTAACAAACTCTTTCCATCTGGCAAAATTAAGTTTCTATACCCATTAAACCCTGACTCCCCATTCTTCCCATCCGCCAGTCTCTGGCATCCACCATAATACCTTTTAGGAATTTTGAGTTCCCTATGTTAAGGTTCTGATAGCAGTAGAGTCATAGCATTTGTCCCTTTGCTATTGGCTTATTTCATTTAGCACATCATATTCAAGTTCATCTGTTATATTTTCTGTCAGAATTTCCTTCCTTTTCAAGGATGAATTACATTCAATTATATGCTGTCTTAGTATATGTTTTCTGAAGCTAGCGCAAAATACCAGAGACTGAAATTCATAAAGAATTTAGCTCACAGTTCAAGAGCACGGTGGTGGATCCCACTCAGCTTCTTGTAGAGGCTTCGTGCCGCGCCAGTTCAAGGTGGAAGAGGAAGTGTGATGCGGATGAGGAGACGCATTTCTCGTGGTAGCTAATCAGTCCCTAAAGACCCAGCTTCCTCCTGTGAGACCTAATCCAGTTTTGAGAGAACTAACCCAGTCTCTGGGGAAAGCTAATCTGTTCCTGAGGGTGGTGTCCTTTGACCTAATTACCCCAGTAGGTTCTGCCTCTTAAAGACCCTGTCACTTGTACATACTTTCCAGTGAGACCAATAATGAATGTAACTGTACTGTATACCTAAAATGTACCAATAAACTCAATGAGGAAAAAAAAAAGAGACCAAATTTTCAGCATGTGAACTTTTAGGAGACAGACCATGCCTAAACCATAATATATGTATTGACAATATTTATATCAACTTACTTTTAAAACCTAGCTGAAGCCTGAGTTTATAAAGCAACATGGTTTACTTCCTCCTTTGTTCTGTTATTCTTTCCATGATACTTTTTGCCCTATGTATTTAGTTACATGTCAGCCCCACCTGTTAGCCATCAGCTCCTGGAGGTTAATGCTTCTGTCTTTATCCCTTGAGTTATATCTGGAATGGCATATACCAAGGACTAAATACAGTTTTGTTGGAAGGCAAGGGTAAGAGGACATTCCATTCAAGGTAACTTTCATAGAAAAATAATGAAGTCAGAAGTCAATCATGTTCATAGACTTTCCAGTGCTTTTATGTTACCGGAACATAGAATATATGAGGCAAGTAGTTGGAGATGTCCCTCAGATAAAATCACAGAGTAGTAAGCACTGGAAAGGCATTGAAAATGCAAAACAAAACTCCTTAGGTCAGTGTATGGATACAGTTGAGTAGAAGATGTTGATTAAAACACTGAGGGAGTGGGATCTTTTGGTCCTTGGTTATTTTATTCTAGGATGTGAAGTAAGTACTAAAAGTCATTAGTGTTAATTTATGCCTGCATTTATTGAAATACAGACACAGTTTTTCCAGTGACAATATTTCTGAAGTCTAGCATATAAAGAGAATTTTCTAAGTAAAATATTATCTTAATCACAGTTGTTGCTTTAAGGCTTACATTTGTAATTCTGGTGTGGTTCTGGTTTGTGAATTCCAGAAGTAATCATGCTGTGTGTTAATTTACCTGTTTTCTAATAAAAGGCTATATCATAAAAAGATAGGTCTCAGTATGTTTGGCTTTTCTTCATTTCATGATATATCTAAGGTAACCTCTGTGCATGCTTATTTTTGTTATTTTTGTTTGTATGTTTAATGACTGATGTGTCAGTATCCTTCTGTACTTGTTTTGTTTGCTGTGAAAGTGCATGTAGATCTGACCAAAGCATTTCAGTATTTGTGCTTTTTATTCTCTTGTTTTTACTTCCTTTTTCTATTATTGTTTGGTCATTGTTCCTTTCTGTTTTTTTCATTTTCAGTGCTTTTTAAAAATCTTTCCTCTTCTCTCCTTCCTTTAAACTGAATGTTGTATAGAAATGACCATTTTGGATGAAACAAATATAAAAATATAAAACACTAAAACTTATTTAATCCATGGCATTCTCTTTTGTTAACCTAGGAAACAGAGCCAAATTATATTCGTCATTGGAAAAATAGTATTCAAAATCATCCAGTCACTAAATCATGAATCTTGGTATCATTGCAAGTTCATCCTTTTTTCTTATTTTAATTAGTCACCAAAGCATATTTATTATTCTTCCAAAACATTCTATAATTACACATTTTGTACAATCTCATGGTTGTTCCTCTGGTCATGGCCTTCATATTGCATACTTGCTAATGAATGGCATCTCATCCTAACATCTCTATTTTCTCATCCACTGTCTCCTTATTTTCTAAGCCATTATACACCGCACACACTGCCAAAGGCATAATCTGAACATGTGCAAATGTAATTACCTCCTTCTCTCTTTAAAATTCATGCCCTTTTCATTGCCTGAAGTTAAATTTGAAACTCACTAACCCAGTAAGTAATAAGCCTCTAGGATTAGCTGAGTTTCTTACATTCACCTGTAGCTCCAGCCAGACATATCATTTAACTTCTGATTTTTTTTGGATGTGTTCGTTTTCTCAAATTATTCCTTTTATTCTGGTCACTTGTGAACCCCTGCCAAGAAGCCAATTTTGTCATAAAAGAATGGGTCAGTTTCCTAGCTCTTTTCAACTAGTGGGAGTTGTAAAGGTGGCACATACTTGTGGCAGAAAAACACTCTTTTCTGCCTAGACTTAGCCTCCTGTTTTCAGTGTAGTCTTCTGATGAATGGAACCAAATAGAAACTCAAGCACGACTTTGGCATCTCTGTACAATAGAGTGGTCAAATACCCTTCTCATCAGCTTCTCTTTGCTTTACATCCATACTGGTTCCTACCAGGCTAATGACAGTAGAAAGCTTGGGAATATAAGCTCAAGGACAAGACCTGTGTTTTTTACCTAAGAATGAGGCAGAATTGGCTGTTTTTCTTTTCTCCTGGATCACACCCTATTTCTGATAGGTTTTAAAAGGGTGGTATGTAAGAGTGCAAGATGGAGCGGTTGTGGAGAAGAGACCTTGGATGTGGGAGACAAGAGAGAAAAGTGGTGCAGGGAAAAATAATCCCACCACAGAAGTACTTCTGTAAAAGCCATAGCATTACTGATACATATTTATGGTTGAGTGAAAATGAGAAGAACTGCATAGATTTTTTCAAACAAAAGATGACTATTAGGCAGGGATTTCAGTTATAACTGAAAATGTACTGAAGACCTGTCAGAGTAAATGAGGGCTCCTAATAAAATGGAATTAGCTGAAGGAGGAGAGAATACCATTTATTAATGTTCATACAAGTAAATCTTCATAGAAACTCTAGGAAGGATCGCTTCTTGGCCTTTCAGTTAAAATCACGTGAAACTTTAGGAAGGAAACATTATTATTATTAACATTTAATAGATGGGCATACAGATGGTGCAGCTAATTGAGCAGACTAAGATTGTAGACCTAAATTGCTAGGACAGAATATAAAAATAGTTCTGTCTGACTCTTTATGTAATGCTTCCATTTTTGTTATCTTCAAAACTTTGACAGCATATACAGTACCATATTTGATGGGTAATTAGATGAGTATAATACATGTGAGTATATAAGTTTAATAACCTTGATACCTTTGTGCACTCTCTCCACTTCTGCAAATTCTCTTCACAGGGATAAGATCGGACCTTGTTAAAATTCTAGAAAATGATCTTGTGTTTCATATTTTAGGACCAGTGATAAGAGGAGAAACTTGGCCAAGCAAAAAGCAGAGGCTCAAAGGAGGCTTTATGGTCAAAATTCAATAAAAAGGCTCTTACCAGGTTCCTCAGACTGGGAACAGCAGAGGCACCAGCTGGAGAGGAGGAAAGAAGAGTTGGTATGAATATTTTATTTTATTTTTCAGTGCTAGGGATTAAACCCGGGGCCTTGTGCATGCTAGAGAAACACTTTTCTATTGAGCTGCATCCTGTAGTCAGTATGAATATTTTAACAGACTATCCACAATTTGTATAGAATCACTCATTTATCAGGTTTTATTTGTAAAATTTCTGCATTTCTAGAAAGAAAGACTTGCTCAAGTACGAAAGCAGATTTCACGGGAAGAACATGAAAACCGACACATGGGGAATTACAGGTAACTATACTGCCATTTTTGTGTAGATTGAAGGAGTAGTGAAGGGTCAGAACAGTCATTCCTTAACCTTTCAGGCTTATTTTAAGAATTGTTCTTTCTTTCTGAGAATGTACTTTTTGCTTTGTATTTTTCAAAATAGAAAAGGTAGTCAGAAAATGATTTTAACTTGAAACCTCCTGCTAGCAAGCCTTGGGTGCCTGTTGGAAGTCTTATAACCAGCTGCTCTTTTGTGATTATATTTGCTTGGTATGTGGTATTTTAAGAAAAGAAACAATTCAAGTCTTCTGGTATTGTTCTTGCCAACTCATGGTGGTTACTGTACTTTGCTGTAAACCCAAGTGCTCAAGAATCAGGCAAAATGAAATATTTGAAGGAGCCAGGTATAGAGACATAGACAGGGGTGTGAACAGGGTTGACCTGGAACCCTCACATTATCACCCTTGACAGGATCAGAGGAGGACCCTATAAGTTCCTTGCGTTCCAGGAACCATTGCCTTCTTCCCAGACATTGACCTTGCCTCAGCAAGATGAAGGGAGGTGTGAGGGCAGGCGTAGAGTTCCTTGTCCTACCTGGTAAGATGTTCTTTCCTGGCTGCCGCACTGCCCTACTAGCGAGGAGAACCCATCCCTCTCACCCTCCTCTTCCCCTCTCTCATGTTATTACCCCAAAATAGATGATCATAACTAATGCTCTTCTTTTGGATACTTTGGTAACTACGGTGAGTCAGAACTTTTGCATTGTCCCCTGTCAGTGAACTCCCCCGCCAGAGTTCTGTATTTCCCCACTTTGTCCAACTTCCAGTTTTTCCCACCCCTTTCTGTCAACTAATGCTCATAATGGTATCTTCTGGCGCTGCATTCTTTAATGGTACTTCCCTAGACAAACTTTAATTGTGTAATACATGAAAATTTATGAACTTTCCATAATTATTCATCTTTATTTCTAGCTCCTAGTAAAATAACTATCACGGAAAAAGAGGGCAGTGATTAAAGCAGCTGCCTCAGCTACTGAGCTGTAATAGCTTCTCTCTCTCTCTTTTTAACAAATTGGTTTATCTGATTTTATTGTAGACGAATTTATCCTCCTGAAGATAAAACACTACTTGAAAAGTATGAAAACTTGTTGGCTGTTGCCTTTCAGACCTTTCTTTCAGGGCGAGCAGCTTCTTTCCAGCGAGAGCTGAATAATCCTTTGAAAAAGATGAAGGTGAGAGGGTGAACACTTACATACATGAAAATGAATGACACCAAACAATATGTCTTCAGCGACTATCACCCCTGCTCCTACATGTACATTTTTACTGTTAGGATGCACTTCTGTCTTTTTATTTTAGCAGTTGGTAACATTTCATAACTAAGTGATTTTGTAATTAAGATATTTAACAAAACGAATTTTGGAGTAGTGAATTTTGGTGTGATATCATAATATGACTATTATAATAATATGTTATATTGCATAGATTTATATATGTAACTGGATGAAGAAATTCATTGAGTTAACATAATGGCTTGTGATAATCTCCATGAATTATAACTAACGTTAGTTGCATAGTATTTTTCTTGATACTACATAGAACTGGTATATGAGAGTACGTAATTAAAACAGGCACACTCACATCTCTCCTCCCTCCTTCCCTCACACCCCTCGTTTATCCTAGTGAGAGGTCTGTCAGTTATTTCTTGCAACATGCAAACCACTTTATGTATTTGCTCATTTTTCTGGAGTCTTGGTAGCAACAGTTCTTTTGCTGATCTTGCCTACAGTGAATGATGTCGTTTCATTTATCTGAAAGAAGAATTTCTTGCACTCATCAGGGCTTAGATGCCCAACGTGGCTTCACTGACATCTGGTCTGTCAGATGGGACAGCTGAACACACCTGGTGGTATCTCAGGGTTTCAAGAGTGAACATTTCTTGATGCCAGCAGAATTTCTTTGCCTTGATAGACGTGATTTCTACCCATCTTTGTGAAGCCTTGATGAAAGACCGTAGACCAGAAAGTGCCACTCGTCTCTGTCCACTTAGGAAGAACTTCTCTCTTGTTCCCTTCTCTGGAATTTAATTCCTTTACATTACTTTTTACCAGCTTTCTGATTTTATTTTAGTTTATTTTATTATTTTTTTATTTTTTTGGTACTGGGGATAGAACTCAGGACCTTGTGCTCAATAGGCAACTGGCGGAACCACTGAGCTAAATCCCCGGCCTGAGCTTTCTGATTTAAAAAAACAATTTGGCTGCTTAGTTCATCTGGATTTTTATACCTCTGAGAATGAAAGTACAGTACAGTCTATTGTGATCATTCTTAGAAACAGAACTTTTGAGATTATTTTTAGCTATCTTTTGTTGCTATCCATGGAATTCATTGTAGGATTATTCCTTAATCAAATCTATGGCAAGAGTCTTCTGGTATTTTAATAGCTAATTTCCATTAGGTTTGGATAAAGAGTAACTTATTTCATAAACTAAACTCTATAGCAAGGTTTCTAGTTTTTTCTAAAAATTTTTAAAGAGGATATTGATGTAGAAATCATAAATATAGTTTTGCTATTTTTATAGTTTGAATAAATGACAAAATGAAGTGGTTGACTATGTCCTTTGCAACATACCTGTTACTCTGATTTCTTCAACATCCACTGGGATTTGTGCTTTTGTAATTTTTCTGTTTGACTTCAAAATGACTCTAGAAGAACAGAAGAGATGATTACTAGGACATTTACACTATTATAGCTATAGAATGAAAGCTTTTTATAAAGCTATAAAAATACTCTTGCAATAGTTAAGTTTTCTAAAGTATTTCATTAAATGGGATTCATTAACCAGATAGTATAATTAATTTGCTTCTAAATGAAGCTTCTTTGCCAAGTGTGTATAACTCAGCCTCAAGGCTTGGACAGCCTTGCTTGCCTGGCTCCACTGAGTGATGAGGAATTACCTTGGGTTGCATATAATCTTTAATAGAGTTAACATACATAAGCAACAAAACTTCATTTATTTATATTTTTATTATGACACAGTTATATCCTACCCATCCATAGGTTGCATATTTCTTGTAGGCAATCTTCAGTTCTCTTTCTGGAATTTTAATATTATTTTACATAGTCAGTATAGAAATGTTTAGTGAAATTGTAGTCTGAAGAATTAGAATGAACTTACAAAACTTTTAGTGTGCAATGTGTAATTTATTGGAGTACTGTATTCTAAAATTTTAATAGTATACTGTGATAATGTATGATACATTCAGCTATGCATTTATTTATATTGACAGATTTTGGTGAATATTTCTTCAAGAGAGCTTGCCATGAAGCTTTATTTCACTTTTGATCTGAACAATCTTCACTGAATAGTTTCACATTACTTGCTCATTACTTTATGGAGATTAATGAACTTAGAAACATTCTGGAGTCTGTTAGTGATTATAACTGTATAAATATGTATTGTTGCAGGAGGAAGATATTTTGGATCTTTTGGAACAATGTGAAATTGATGATGAAAAGTTAATGGGAAAAACTTCCAAGCATCGAGGACCAAAGGTGCCATATCTCTGTTATTTTTAGTATCTAAGTAGATGCTACCAAGTATAATTGGTTTTCCCCTTAGTAGCTCTCATTATAAGGATAGTGCTGCTTTCAAGAAATTGTAGGGACTGTGTGTCCAGTGCAGATAGAATTGGAAAGATAGTGTTATTTTTATATACAATAGATTATTTTTATACACAGAATTAGTTTCCTTCATTTTTTGGTTCTCCCATAGTACCTCATGAATCTGAGTGACCTAGAACTGCAGTTGTATCCCTTTTCTAGACTAATTAAATTTTCTTTATACCAAATTAGGCATAATTATCAAAGATACATGTAGCATCAGATATAAGATGAATCATCACTGTAAGGACTCTTATTGGTAGGGAGCCCCATCTTTGCCTAACTAGCAACGGTGATAGGGTGGTAGTAACAATAGGTGGTATTCCTAGGAATAAATTTAAGAAAGCAGCCATGTAGGTGAAAAAGAACAAGTGTTTGTCTTACTTTCATCTGCTCTGTGGTGATAACATCCATATGTTCTTCTGATACATGTCAAAGTCTTTGCTAGTAAAAATGGAAAGAGTTGAATTTGAAAAATCTTGGAAATTTGTTTTCATTCTGTTCCTTTTATTGTACATTGCAGCATTACTAAGTTATCTCTTCATCTTTACAATCATGCTGTTTTGTGTTCTCATGCTTTCCCATGCCTCAGAAATGTATGTACACTAAAACAAATTATTGATTTGTTGCTGGATTAAGTAGAGACCCCCTTACTAATCTAGTTTTAGTGTTGCTTCCTTTGTGAATCCTTTCCTGGCTCTCCCATTTAGTACCTGTGAACAGATCTCCCTTTCCCCTGCTGTACTATAAATAACACTTTTTTAGAGCAGTTATGACAAATAAGTGTTTGCATGTTTGCCTCAGTGTAAGAGTATAAGCTCCTTGAAAGTAGGAAGAATATCTTTTTCTCTGCACTTGTAGCACCTAGTATGGTGTCTGGCAAATCATTAGTTCTAAAAATCCATTAGTAAAATTTGTTGAAAGTGTCCATGAGGACCGTATTGGCTAATGGAACATCTGTAACCTTCAAATCAGGAAATCATATGTCAAATTCTGTAATAGAGCAGCATAAAGAACAAATCAATAGAATATGGATGACTTCATAAAGACATTGGCATTTGAACTGGATATTGAAAAACAAGTAGTACTCCATACGTTTAAGAGAAGTAGAAGGATGTTCAGGACAGAATGAACACTTTTTGAAGGTGAAGATATGGAAGTATTATACTGTGTAGGTTGTTGTAGAAACATGAAATAAGTGGAAGATTTGGAGGGTGGCATGATTCATGACGGGCCTGGTGACAGATATGTGAGTATGTATCTGTGGAGCCCTTGTGTGTCAGACACCATTCTGAATTATGTGCACTGTACTGAGGCACTGCGGAATATGCAGCTGATAACTTCTTTGAAAGAAATATATTTAGAGTACTTGTAAAACATGAATACCTCCAGTGTCATGTCTTCATTTGGAAGATACTTAGGAGTTTCTAAGCTTTGCATACTAACCGGACCTTAGATCATCAGTGGGATACAATGTTCATGGTAGAGAGGCAAATGTGAAAGTCCTGAAATACTCTTATATTGTCTTTTCTTTTATTCATATAAGACATTACTAGAACAAAAGTCTTAACATTTTGGGAGACAAAATTCACATTGCATATTTTTTTCAACTCATTCTAGGAAAGTAGTGGAAATTAAGAATGTATTTGTTGACGTTTAGTCACTTCAAATTACATATGAATTTGATTGTACCTGTAAATACTAAAGTCCACAGTATTTCCAAGCAGCTGAAAGCTGTATAAATGAAATAGAATTTTTTATAGCTTTTAACTTTATGTTTATGAAGGGTCTAAAGTTATCCAGATGTCAAAATACCTTCCTTTTAGGAGGGATGCCCAATCTTGATGTCCAGTTTCTTTATCAGTAGAAGAATAATTGGAGATAATGACAGTTATATAAAACTTGTATTTGTCCTAGGAGAAATAATAACTTTTCAATTATTAGATAATTTAAGAAATATTATTAGCTACATAAATAATAAGTGCTACAAAAATATTAGCAATATTTGTTTTCTTAGGCAGGATGGTAAGTACCTGGATATTTCTTTTATTATTCTTTATGTGCTTATATATATTTTATATAAATCTATTTAATAATAAAGTTGGACATAGAATAAGGTCCACAGTTTGTGTCACAACTCTCTACTAGATTCTGTATTCTAGTTGATAGTTAAGGCCCTAGAGTTTATGCTATTGGGACTTCTAATACTGCTTGAATAGTATTGTGGTCAGAAAGTACTAAATACTTACGACAGAAAGATTCAGTTATCTGTTCCCTTGTGATTCTTTAAAGGGTCAAATAACTCGTTATATAGTCAAGCTCCTTAAGAAACCTTAAAGCTGTTTGCTACATGAAGGAAGGCATTGCTAGCAAGCCTGATTGTGCCACTGTTTCTTCTGGTTATGCTAAACTGCTGCAGAAACACGCTCCCTCTAGAGTTCCTATTCCCCAAGCCTGTCAGAGTGTTGATGATTGTGTTACTGGTAAATGTTTTTATGCATATCTTTTTGAACATTGTTAGTACTCAGTAAATATTAGACCATCAAAAGGAGAACATATGTTTAAACACAAGTTGGTACCTTAGTGTATTAAGTTTCTTTCCTGCTCTGGTTATATTTCATCCTTTGCAAAGGCTGCATCTTCAAGACGATCATGTTTTGGCTTACTCTGTATTCCAGGCATTTCAGTAAAAGCTATTTTTCTATCTTTCATCCTACACTGTTACACTGGAGAATATACCTTCTTTCAGTGAGATCCCATGGTATACAAGGATTTCATTATGGTGTGTGCTAATATCAAAACATTTTGTTTGATTTAGCAGAGAACAAACTGCTAGTATACAACTGTAGGAACTTCTCCCAACAGGAAAAGGAGGCATATGGTGTGTGTAACAAATAGTTTCTTAAAATGCCTGCATTACGGAACTGGCTTATTCTTGTTTATGCACTTTCTTTTTGATGTGAGTCTGTTTCACATCCTTTCTCTTTTATTTCTTCAGCCAGCATCTTTGCAAACATTGATAGAGAGGGATTGGAAACAAATGGAGACAGTGAAACATAATGGCATGGCATTTTTTAACTTTTACAGATTTTTCCTTCTACACAGTACCTATCCTCTAAAAAATTTATACCATACTGATTGATTTTCCCATTATATCACCATGTAAAATGTTGGCAAAGAAAAGCAGTGTTACTCCACTATATCCAGAGTCAGTGTATCAAAGATAGGAATCCTTTGCAAAGAGACATGAGTTGTTCATGACCAGTTTGGAAAGTAGATAATTAAAATGTTTGTGTTTATAACTATCCACTGCAGGGACTAGGAGTAGCTTAGGGGTAGAATACTTAGCACGCACTAGGCCCTGGTTTTAATTCCCAGCACCCAAAACAATCAAATGTACGTTCATTAGAAAATAGGCATGCCAGGAATACTTTGTTTTTTGTTCCATATCGTCTGAGTGGATAGGCTTCGAGTCTGTATTTTAAGGTGTGGACTTCTAGTGGCATCTCAGGCTGTTGTATTCCCTTTCTCTTTGTCCTTCTTCCTCCTTCCTCCTTCTCTCAAACACCCCCCCCCCATTTATTGAGTGACTGAAGGTTAATGGAACAAAGAGTGTATCTCTGAGTCTTACGAGTAACTTATCTGTAAACAGGAAAGCTGATTACGGTTTTAATACTTTTTTGAAAATATTTCCCATCATTTTTGTTATTGTTCATGGATACAGTGGTACCTTGGTTTAGAAGCTTAGTTTGTTTTACAATTTGGGGGAAGATGGTCCTGTTTGTTACCTGATATGGAATTTGCAAGTGGAAGCAAAATTCTGCTGAATGCTTTTGTATGTGAACTGAGTTCTTTGCAAACAGAAGTGTTTATGAACTGAGGCATTACTGTATTCTGGTTCTTATTACAGTAAATAGCATAAATAGCACATTGGGATATTTTCAGCCTTCAGTGAAAAGCAGCAAGCACAAGGGGAAAATTAAAATTAGTAACTGATCATGTTACTAAGTCTTTTAAAAAATTGTCATATTATAATCCATTCCCTTCTATTTTAGCCTCTGTGTTCCATGCCAGAGAGCACTGAGATAATGAAAAGGCAGAAGTACTACAGCAGTGACAGCAGTTATGATAGTAGCAGCAGCTCTTCAGAATCCGAGGAAAATGAGAAAGAAGAATATCAAAATAAGAAAAGAGAAAAGCAAGTTACGTATAAGCTTAAGCAGTCCAGCCACTGCAAATTAATTCAACAATCCAGTAAGTCAGCTCCTTCTAATTTAGTTGATATAAGAAGAATTATGGAATTTAAACTGTTGAACTCAATAAAAGGTCCTTTGGTTAAATGAACCTTTGTCTTGTGTGAGGAGACCTGCATTTGACCCTCCTTCCTTCCCTGACTAGACCTGGGCACATCCCCGAATCCTCTTCAGGTTCTGAAAATAGAAAAGGCTGAATTAAGGATCCATTTTTCTTGTACATTTCATAGCTTTTGTTAAGTTCTAGATTTTTGCATGAATTTTGTAAATGTGCCCATGACTGGTTACCCTTCTTCTTTAAGTCGGTGTGGTCGTCCTCATTCCAGCCTCCCACCATCCACTTTGGCACTACCGTCAACGTTTGAAAATATGTGTGTCTCTCTGGGCATTTAACTTTATTTATTTTTTTTTTTTATTGAGTTTATTGGTACATTTAGGGATACAGTAGTTACATTCATTGTTGGGATCATGTACCTTTACATGGCAAGTCTTGATTCTCATTTTTTTCCCCTTACCTCTGCCCTCCCTTCACCCCCTCCTCCCCTCCCCATCTACAAACACTTTATTTTCATCTTTTCATTCTCTCACATTTTTTTCTTTTCCCTTTTTGTTCTTCCCCTACGTATCACACCTTCCCTACACCTTTAGCTCCTTTCCTCCCATTTCTAAATGTCAGTAATCTTATTAGAATCTTATGCATTGTTGCAGAATATTCACACCAGGGAAACTATTTGGTATTTACACATGTGGGACTTATTTATTTCACTTAGGAGTATATCTTCAATATGTATCCATTTTCCTATGAATGAATCTATTCTCTCGCTCTTTATGGCTGAGTAATATTCCATTTTATAGAAAAACCACATCTTCTTTATCCAGTTTCCAACGGATGGGCAAATAGGTTGTTTCCAAGATTTAGCTATTACAAACTGTGCCGCTATAAACATGGGTGCACATACTTCTCTGTGATATGATTCTTTTAGTTCTCTTGGAAAGATACCCAACAGAGGGATGGCTGGGTCAAATGGAACCTCCAGTCCAAGCTCTTTGAGGTATCTCCATATTGATTTCCATAGTGGTTGCACTAGTCTGCACTCCCTGGGCATTTAACTTTAACGTATCTGTGAGACACACAATTGCAACATAGTTAAATTTTGTTCCCTCCCATTTTCTTGATGGGTGAGTACTTAAATGAGGGCTTTCGGTGTATAGGAAGTATTGAGAGCAGCCACCTCCTGCTCCTCCATCTCCTTTCCTTCCTATCTTTCTATCTTTATTACTTTTCATATCCTCTCTCTTGTCTTTCTCCTGTCTTCCATTTCTTCTTCAATCCCAAATGTTAGTTATTGTGCCTGTGATTCTTTTTTCATCCCCCGATGTCCAAATGTAGCAGTGATGTTTTCCAGGACTCACTGTCTTCTGATCAGTAAGACGTACTTGGAAAACCTTTCTGATGCTATCTTAACCCCACACTTTTATTTACTAAGGTCTCTGATATCCATTCTTAGTGTTCTGCTAAAGGGATCAGTTCAGTAATACAATAAACACAATTGGGAGCCTTTGTGGACTTCCAGCAAGGGTTTATTGTGTAAGCTTCCCTGATGACATGTCTGTTTCAAAACTGGTCTTCTATGCCTGTGGAAAAATACATGCAGAACTAATAAATTAAACTTTTAGAGGGATGATTTATTCCTTTGCTTCCAAATTATTCCACAAAGAGGCATGGTATTACTGTTCCCCTTTTTGAGGGGTTGTGTATTTGGAGGGGAAATAATTTATTATGTTCCATTTATTTTATTTACTCATTCAAGAGATCCTTACTGAGCACCTGTTCAAGGGTTTGTAAGCTATTTTACTTCTTTTTTTAAAAGGATCCTTTAAGTACTTTCAATGTGTCTCATTCTAAGTATGGCTCTAGTTTGGTTTTGGAAGTTGACATTTACTTTCTGAATTTTGCCCTTTTAAAAATTGCTCTCCTATTATCTGACATGTCTCTCTAATAGCGTGAACTGTACAGAAAAACAGAAAGAAGAATAGTACAGAAAGCAATCACTAAACTTCTTATAGTTCTGAAATGGTTCTTTGTTTTCTGATCAGTAGGTTGATAAGATCAGACAATAATGTATTGAATATTTTAAAAAGTTTTAAGTATGAATTTTCATTTTAAAGTTAGGCTAACTCAATTACATTGTTTTCCGTACTTGTATCTTCTTTTATGTGCATTAGGAATTACACTTAGGGTTTTGTCTTATTTTATGTTCTTTTTTTAATCTTACACTAAGGGGCATCATTGCCACAAATTACCCGTGAGTTTATCACCAAAGTTATGCTGATGACCAAGGACAAAAGTCCATTATTTGCACTTCCTTCTGCAGATAGTTAACATGGGAAATTCAGCCTTCAAAGAGATACATTTGGTTTGATATAAGGCAGTCATATAAAAACCTATATAAAATTATTTTCTCATGTATTTGATGGCTGGAAATTATAATCACTTTTGTTGTTTGCTAACCAAGTTAAATATCATGAATGTGTTCAGCTACTTTAGCTATTCTGTCTGAATTTTAGTTGTATGCAAGTGAAAAAAATGGAGATCTAGGACGATTCAATAGAAAGGATATTTTCTTTCCACCCTTTGATCAGGTTATATACAGCCCAACCAGCACCTTAGGCCCTCATAGGGAACTGGACTGCAGTGTAGTGAGTAGCAGATGATATGGGCACTTGCTTAGTAGAAGCTTGACTTTCGTGTTATACTAAATATATGCAGTTCTTTGCAAAAACAACAAAAATGTGGACTGTCAGTGGTACTTCATCACATAGCCCTTTCCTGCAAGCAGTTATTTCTTCAAAAGGTGGTGTGATCATCAGATTCTGAAAGAAGTTAATATTATGCAACAGACATGGTTTTAATCTTCTATAACTTGAATGAGTATGCTTTTTAATAGTCTCCCAAACCTAAAATGACAATTACGCCTGTTGTTTATTCAAAATATCTTGTAGAAATACATTCCTAAATGTTTATTTCCACTACCTTCATCCATGTTTAATTTTTTCAGCAGCTAATGAGAACTATTTGGATATTCAGTCTGACTTCATGTGAGTTTTATTAAATTATTTAAGTAGTGAAGATTTATATAATCCGTAGTAGACAGACTGTAGCACTGAGGTTATGTAGAACTTGTGAACAACAAAACACTTATATTATCGAGTGACAGTCTATTTTTCTGTCAGGATTCACAGTTTATTTGCAACAGTTGGTTCCTTCTCTTAAATGTACTCAGTGTGCTTTGAGGAAGATATCTTCTTGTTTTCCTAGGAATTTGTTCTGATAACATTCCTATTCATATTTTTGTGTCTTTTCTTACGTCTTTTAAATCTGTCTGTGTGCGTGTGTGTGTATTTGTCTGTCTTGTGGAGATGGGATTTTTTATGTTTGTGAATAAAAAGACTGTTAAGTGCTACTCTTGCCATAGGAAATTATTTATTTAGACTTCATTAGGATAAGTTTTATATTTTCCCTCCCTCTGTCTGTCCTTCTCTCCCTCGCTCTCTCCTTCCCTTCTTTTCTTTTCATGGTTCCCAAATTCTCTAACTTACCTATTTGCCCTGGGTACTCTCTGAAATCGTTTTGTACCATGAATCTTTCTGTAAAATAGTCTGTAACTTAACACTGATTCTAATGCATGGCCAGTCTGCACGAAGTACAGTGGATGACATCATGGAATTAGGTAAGGATTTAGGCCTGAGGTTGGCCAGTGTATCTCTTTGTGACTTTGAGAAAAGTTTTGGGTTTTTTGTTTGTTTGTTTTTTTGTTTTGTTTTGTTTTGTTTTTCCCTAAATTCTGGGCAATGGTAATCTCTCCTTTGGAGGGTTTCTGTGAGGACTAAGAAAAGAAGGGTGAATATGGCATGGTGCCCAATCACAGTGGTTGCTCCATAAATATTAATTTTTCTTCTTTTTTAATGTCATGCTTTGAGAACATAACGGTAGAGTGCCACTTATAGTTATTGTTCCCACAGTATCTGCTATTTGTACATCTGAGGGGTTCTGAGCAGGTTTACCATTTACATTGAAGTACTGACCCTAAACTTACCTTCTCATGAAGATAGGTATGATTCCACATTTATTGCCCCTCGGCTGCCACCTGGTCTAGTCTTTAGTTTATATAGTTCCAATACAGGGGAACTTCCAGCAGTACTACTGTACTATCCCTCTGCTCCATTGTCATTAGGTTCCATGAGGCGTTCAGTCAGTTGCCCTCGGTCCATTTCTGCTCACTCACCTTTCGGCGGAGACACTCGCCCCTTTTCTGCTCAACACATGATACCAGTATCACGGCCAATGTCCGTATCTCGGTCACATTCCTTAAACCGGGCTTCCTCCTACACAAGACAGCTGCTTCACAGCAACGATACCAGCTCTTCCAACTCTCAGGTGGTAAGTCATCTGGCGTGCTGTTTTAGGATCTCAGAAAACATTATACTCACAATCTTTGTTGGTGAAGGTGATCAGCTAGGAAAACAGATTGAACCTCAGATCTTTTTTACAGTTCAATTCATGGCCTACTGAAATTTGGATTATTTATCTATATTATGCTTCAGTTTGGTTTGGACTCCTGAAAGGCAGACTTCACTATGTCACAGAACTCGATGAAAGACACTAGAATAGCATTATTTTATTTTCCATTTGCTTCTGTAGTAGGATAAAATTGTTAAAAATCATCTGACTAAATGTATGATTTTAGGAATATCTTATATTGTCTATAAATTTGTTGTATGGAAAATTTTATATAATGAGGCTATTAATGGATTAAAATTGATAAATTATCCTTAGAGATCTGAAATATACTGCTGTTTATAATGTTTTCTATACTTTAACATATTCTGTCTTTAGAATGGTTTCCATAAATTTAGAATTGAAGAAATCGGTGATTTTGCGAGTAACTTCACATAGACCAAGGATTCATTTGATTTGTGTATTTATTTAATCTTGGTATTTCCAAAGGACAGAATTAGGAAAGATAGGTGGATGAATTTTACTTGGCAACAACTGCTTTTGTTTTTCTAATGAAGAAGAATTGCCTAAGGTATATGTAGCAAGAAAAACTGATGAAATTCTTTTTAAACATTTATGGTTTTATTTTGTTATTTTAAGTGAATAAAATACAACCATTTGGAAGTTTGAATAACACCCATGGGATTTATATCCATTTAGTGTTAATATTTCATAAATGTAAAATAATTATTTTCTTCTTTTTAAATTTTTTTCAATTAAAACTGCATCATTTTTACCTAGAAATATCTTTCAGATTATACTGGCACAATGAACTAAGACCCCCTCCAAATATCTGTATTCTTTCAAATTTAAGAGTGAGTCTTTCCGGCAACTGAAAACCAAAGAACAAGAAGATGCTTTAACAAGTCAGACCTTATTTGTTCTCAAGGACATGAAGATCCGGTTTCCAGGAAAATCAGATGCAGAATCAGAACTTCTGATAGAGGATGTGAGTACTTATTGCTTAGTATATGCCAAGAAGTCTGTTTTTTCTTCTTGAAATGTTAAAATGTATTTCCTGATGGCTTTATCTAAAAAATATAGCACACTTACTTGATATTCTTTCCAAATACCAAAAGCTTTATAAAATAACAAAGATTTATTTTAATTACTGTGATTCATGAACAGTGAGATCTCACTGATAATCATTAATGTGGAATACCTTTAAGTATAAAGTGATATTTTAATGGTATGACTGCTTCACTGAATGAGAATAATGTTAAAATTGTTCTTATATTAAAGAAATGATCAAGGTACACCTGCTTCTATAAAAAAATAAGAGGAATGAAATGTAATAGAAATGGGTTTCTGCCATAAACTGTCTACAGAATTCGAATGTGAACACTTGAATGTCACCTTTTTGGTGACTTTTGGAGTGAGATGCTGCACTGGTTTTCTTCTTGTCTACACATTTGCACCACCCAGTGGAATGTTCTAAAACCACAAGTCTGGGCTCTACTTCACAAAGAAGTCCAAAGATTTTTTTTGATGAAATGTTTTTGATGAAAGAGAATTTCTTCACTCAAGCTTGTATGTTTTCGTCCAGACAACTTTTTCAAATACTCATTCTTCGATAATTCTTTAGTAACAGAAAGTTATTCCTGGATTCCCTGGATTTTTTTTCTAGAGGAGAAGTCACCATGTAGTGGTCAGCTGTAGGATAAAAATCACAGACAGGCACTTCTTAGTTTAATATTACTTTAGGCCTTTAGGAAATACGCAAATCTGTGCCGTGGGTCTCCAGCCTGGCTGCCACCACCCAGTGTCCATCAGGCCTAGTTCTTCTCCCCAGGATGTGGAGCTCGGTAGTAAGATGTTTGCCTAGGAACCACTGCACCTTATAAAGAGCAAGGAGGAGGATATATGACAGTAGTGGGATGGAATTGGGAGTCCCGGGGACAGGGAAGGGCAAAGGACGTGGTCCTGGCCAGGCACCAGAATCAGGCACTGTTGGACCCTTGATCTAGTGAGAATTTCACGGGCTTACAGAGACTGGAACCTGTGACAGTGGGAGTAGGGGAGACTTAGAGCAGCACCAGCAAAGCTCTCTCCTGCTGGTTCCCAAATGCTCGTGAAATGTCAGGATGGTGAGATACCCTAGAAGATGCTAAAGAGCTGGGACATGTGGTCACCGGGGAAGGAAAAAACTCCAGCTCAGTGCTGCAGAAGCTCTTTCCTTCTGGATCCTAGAAGCCTCAGAAATAATGGGTCAGATAGAAAATCAGCAAGCAGGAATATACTGGAGGCATCCAAGAGAGTACAGAGGGCTGAGAAAAGCCCCCGTGCTCAAAGAGCACTGCCTCAGTCCCACCCCCTGAATCCACTGAAATTGCAGATGGAGCAAGGTTTGGCCAAAAAGAGGCCTAGCTGTAAACTGTGAGTGCTGGACTCAAAGCGTTGGGGTGGAGAGAATGGCAAACAGAGAATGGTAGGAGGACAAGGAGCCAAGAACTGTGGGCTGAAGATATAGAAGATACAGAGCTGGGGTGAGCATCCTGCCAGCATCCTGAGAACTCCAGAGGCTCCTGAGCATGGTGACCCTGAAGACAACAGCACAGATGAGCTGCCACTGCTCAGTGTCCACCAGGCCTCAACAAAAAAGCAGGACAATTATTTTCTTCCTTTTTCTCAAGACCAGTTTTTACATTAAGAATGGCCTTTTAAATATATATGCACATGGGTATGGTAAGCATATACATTTTCTGCTGGTATATCTAACCTTGCATGGCTGTCAGTTCAACAACTGGATACAGTTTTCCTAATTCTTTCACCTCACATTTATATTCTCTTCCTTCTTTATTTTCCCTACCTACCTTCTTCCGTCTCTTGCTCCTCCCGAAGAGTTTTTTTCTTATTCGTTTTTTCCTTTTCCTCTCTCTTATAATAGGATCAGTAAGATTTCATCTTTTCTAGTATATTGTACTTAATTACTCTCCCTGTCTTTCTCTGGGATAGCAAAATAGTAGAGATCTCCTAAAATGAGTTCATAATTACCTGATACAATATAGAGCTGGCTTCTCAATAGTTGACCCTGCTGGTAGTTACTCTTTCCTCTCTAAAGAGTGTTTGGAGTTTCTATTATACAGAGCAGACTAAGGAGAAACTCACTTGGAGATAACCCCACAACTGCACACATGTCAGAAAGAGAAAGCAGCTCACCAAAAAGTTTCCACATAACAGTGGAGAAGACATTATTTCTTCCTGTTTAATACACTTTTGCATAGGAAGCACAACTACAATGAGAAAAGTAGACATGATATCTACCAAAACTTCTAACTTCCCAAAAGCTGATTCTACAGACACTGAAGTGGATGCAGTTACAAGTAATTGAAGTCCTAATAGTTAAAAACGGTCAAACAGAAGATAAGCAACTAAATGAATCAATTACTAATATGATTAATAAGCTTTAAAAAGAGACAAATAATTAGATAAATAAAAGGAACACACTGTAGGACAGTGCCACAGAGGGCTGTTTGTATCATTGAAAGCTCACTTTGCCATCACTTCTGTAGGATGTGAATGATCACTTCAATTAAAAGTCAGATATAATGAGAAAAAAATCAAGCAGAAATTCTGGAAATTAAGTATTCAATTGAAAGTCTTTGCAGTAGATTAGCCAGAAGAATGCATAGAAGGACTTGAAGACAAGGTATATGTAATAGAACATTCATTCTGTAATGAGACAGCAAGATTAATGAAAAGATTATATAAAATCTCCTTGATAACACTGAAAGAACAACCTTAGAGATAATTGACAATAAGGGGTTGAACTAGAGGATAATGGGGTAAAATTTATTCAGTCAAATCATTGTAAAATTTTTCCAAATATAGGGAATGAGATGGATACCCTAATAAAAGAGGCACTTAGAACCCCAAATACACATCAGAAAAGAACCCCTCTAGCTGGGCATAGTGGCACATGCCTATAATCCCAGCACTTGGAAGGCTGAGGCAGGAATATTGCCATGAGTTCCAGGCCAGCCTGAACGAATAGGGAGACCCTGTCTCAAAAAAAAAAAAAAAAGAAAAAAAGAGCCCCTCTGTGACACACCATAGTCAAAATGCCAGAACCTCAGGATAGAGAATCCTAAAAACTTTTAGAAGTACCAAATCACCTCTCAGGGCAAACCTATGATAGTAATAGATTCCTCAGGAGAGCTTAGAGTGAAATTCTTCAAGCTGTTAAAGAAAATAAATGCCAAAACCATATTACAAAAGTATCTTTCAAAATAAAAAGAAATAAAGACCTTCCATAATAACCAAAAATTAATTTATGGCCACCAAGCCAGAACTCTAATGAATTCTAAATGAAGTAAAGGACAGAGGAAAAAATAAATCTACCGAGAGAGTAAACAAATACAACATCCATCAGGCCAAAGGAAAGAAAAAAAATCTTACTTGAGAGAGTAAACAGAAGCAAAATAAAAAACAAGAAGGAATCACATACTAGAAAAACAATATAGTGACAGGAATCAATATCCATCTCTCTCTCTCTTGATATATATATATATA